CCGTGTCTTTGACGCCCTGAACGATGTGGACCAGCTTGAGGTTGGTATCAAGGCAGTCCACGCCGCTGAGGGTGTTGTCGAAGCGACCGTCTGCTACAGCGGTGACATGCTGAACCCCCACAAGAAGTACAACCTAGAGTACTACCTGGCCTTGGTCGACAAGATTATGGCTTTCAAGCCTCACGTTCTCGGAATCAAGGATATGGCTGGTGTCCTGAAGCCCCAGGCCGCCCGCCTGCTGGTGGGCTCGATCCGTGAGCGCTACCCTGACCTCCCCATCCACGTCCACACCCACGACTCCGCCGGAACCGGTGTGGCGTCCATGATTGCTTGCGCTCAGGCTGGTGCCGATGCCGTGGACGCGGCTACCGACAGCTTGTCTGGTATGACTTCTCAGCCCAGTGTTGGTGCCATCCTTGCTTCCCTCGAGGGCACCGAGCACGACCCCGGCCTTAACTCGGCCCAAATTCGGGCCATTGACACCTACTGGGCCCAGCTGCGCTTGCTGTACTCGCCCTTCGAGGCTGGATTGACCGGTCCCGATCCGGAGGTCTACGAGCACGAGATCCCCGGTGGTCAGCTGACCAACCTCATCTTCCAGGCCAGCCAGCTTGGCTTGGGTCAGCAGTGGGCCGAGACCAAGAAGGCCTACGAGGCCGCCAACGACCTGCTGGGCGACATCGTCAAAGTCACCCCCACCTCGAAGGTGGTTGGTGACCTGGCCCAGTTCATGGTCTCCAACAAGCTGTCCGAGCAGGATGTCGTGGATCGCGCCGGTGAACTGGACTTCCCCGGCTCCGTCCTCGAGTTCCTCGAGGGTCTCATGGGTCAGCCCTTCGGTGGCTTCCCCGAGCCCCTGCGCTCGCGGGCTCTGCGCAACCGTCGCAAGCTCGAGAAGCGCCCCGGTCTGTACCTGGAGCCCTTCGATCTGGCTTCGATGAAGAACCAGATCCGCGAGAAGTTCGGCGCTGCCACCGAGTACGACGTAGCCAGTTACGCCATGTACCCCAAGGTCTTCGAGGACTACAAGAAGTTTGTCCAGAAGTTCGGTGATCTGTCGGTGCTCCCAACCCGCTATTTCTTGGCTAAGCCTGAGATCGGCGAGGAGTTCCACGTCGAGCTGGAGAAGGGTAAGGTGCTGATCCTCAAGTTGCTGGCCATCGGTCCCTTGTCGGAGCAGACCGGCCAGCGTGAGGTGTTCTACGAGGTCAACGGTGAAGTCCGTCAGGTCAGCGTCGACGACAACAAGGCATCCGTGGACAACACCGCCCGCCCCAAGGCCGACATTGGCGACAGCAGCCAAGTGGGTGCTCCCATGAGTGGTGTGGTGGTTGAGATCCGTGTCCACGACGGCCTGGAGGTCAAGAAGGGTGACCCGATCGCCGTTCTGAGCGCCATGAAGATGGTAAGTACCTTCGAATCTATTATTTTCTGGACATTGCATACTAACAAGAATCTTAGGAAATGGTTATCTCTGCCCCACACAGCGGTAAGGTTGCCGGCCTGTTGGTCAAGGAAGGTGACTCCGTCGATGGCCAGGATCTTGTCTGCAAGATCAACAAGGCGTAAAGAAAAAGCCAACAGGACAAAGAAAAAAAAAAAAGAAGGAAAAAATTCTTCACAAGCATTAATGCAGTGAAAATATTTGGATGAACGAATTGATGTGTTTTGATTAGAGCGTTTTATTTCATGTTATTTCTTTACAATATTGTTTGGGTTGGGTCTAGGATATTATTTCTTTTATTCTATTGTCGATTAAGAAAGACCTTGCCAGTAGCGGTCTTTCGGTCTATAGCGCAATCAATCGATAGTTTCAGGTTATGTTATATCTATATACGGGCCTGAGATGCTCGGATGTCCTTGCCAGGGAACACAGGTGATCGACGAATTCGTCAACCAACCCAGCTTAGAAGCATCCCAATGGGGGATGTTTGTATGTACAGTATGAACGAGGAGGATGTAGACCGAATCCAAGAGATCACAATTTAGCCACGGTCTCCTCCGGCTCGCCCACCTCACGCAACGCCTTCCACACGCGCATCGCCTCGTCCCAGAATCCATCCTGCCAGATCTGGACCGAGCCATCCGGCTTCAAGGTCCGCATCTCCCGATGACTCGTGGTACCCCAGTCGATATCAGGCTCGCCATGCACAAACCGAATCCACGGGTCGATCAACGCTTTCCGAATGATCGGCTTCTCCCGCGATTCCAGCATCTCCCCGTTGCCCCAGAACCACATGTACTGGTCGGTGCCGTGCGTGACGCCCCACGCCGGCGGGATGGACTTGTCGGCGCACTTGAGCCGGTATTCGAGGCGGTAGCGATAGAGAAGGTGGGCGGCGCCGCCGAGCGCCAGCGAGTGGACGAGTCCGCGCTGCATCTTGTGGACCTGCATGTCGGCGTAGATGCGGCCGAAGGCGTCGCGGTGCCAGTCGCTGCAGTCGGCCGGGAGGGTGCCGTCCGGGTAGTAGAGCTTGAGGAGGGTGTCGACGACAGGCCGCGGGTAGTCGGCTAGGAGGCGCTTGCGCAAGGCGGCGAGGGTGTTGTTAGCGGGTGGGAGCCAGGTGGCGTAGAGGAAGCGTTCGTCGCGACACTCGCCGAGCATGATGCGGATGTTGCGTGCGGCGACGCGGCGGCCGAAAGAGCCGTCGTCCAAGGACTGGAATAGCGTGGGCGGGATGAAGACCGAGTCCGTGGTGGGTCGGAACTGGTTGATGTCGACGCTGACGGCCGCGGAGAGGAGGTCTTGGCTGGAGACGGCGCGGAGGCGCGCGATCTTCTCCGCCCCGGGCAGGCCCGCGGGGATGTTGAGCGCGGAGAGGAGCTGGTTGAATTGCCCCTGCGCGGCCGCGGGGTTCTTGGGCTGGGTGGCCGGTCCGTTCGACCAGATGCAGGCTTGTTTGACGATGGCCTGGTCTTCAGGGAGTTGGACGTCGTAGGCTAGTTGGTAGAAGGCGGAGTATGCGCCTGAGACGGTGCTGTTAGGGTGCAGCTTATTAAAAAAGGGTTTGACAGTGAACCTTACCGGCCGAGTATCCGGCAACGGTGATCTGGGACGGGTTGCCTCCAAACAGGGACATGTTGTCCTTGGTCCATTCCAGAGCCAGGCGTTGGTCCCAGAAACCCTGGTTTCCAACGGCTTCGCCAACGGAGGCAGCATCATTCCCCAGTTCGGACGAATAGAGAAACCCGAACACACCTAGACGGTAGGCAGGCATGACAATGACCGCATTCAAGGCCCCTTCACCTAGCAGTCCGGCCGAGGAAAAAGTGTTAGGAGTTCCCCATTGAAGAAACCCTCCGTCTGATAGGTAGTTAGCTATGTTCCGTAATACTATCAACTGAGTGGGGAAAGAGATCGATAAACATACGGATGAAGAAGAGAACCGGCCATCCTAATCAAATATGCGTCCATTAGTCAAGCATTAGAGCCTAAGAGGCATGTAATAACATACCCTCCTTCGGGGGCTCCCCAGCTGGGACCCAGACATTGCATTGAAAACAGTCCTCAGACCAACCGATCTCTTTTGAGAGATTCAGTAAGCTAGGCTGGGGGCAGACGCCGGCGGGCCCTGTGCAAGGGCACGGGTGATCTTTGGTGCCATAGGTGTACGTCGACGGTAGTTTCCGAGCCTTTCGCCAACGTTGCGGCGGGGGTAAGGCATATCGGAGGCCCCCGAAGTAATGGCAGAGGGGGTTGTCGGTTGATTTCTCGTGGAGTGTAACACCCTGGATATAACCCCGTTGAGAGAGGGACTTCAAGCATGGGTGTCGGTGAGTTTCCATGTTTACGTTGTATAAAGCAGAGAGGGGGCCAATTGATCGGTGAGATATAGACGAGATAGACTTGATGAGTCTTTGGGAGGAAAGGAGTATGGCGACAGGAGTAGGTATATATGTATACAACTGTCACAGTATCGGAGTTGTTTCCGCGCAATGACACTCCGCTAGGCCAGCATGGCACCGATAAGGGGGATAGCCGAGCTGATTAGCGTCCGGGTGGGGATGGGGACGGAATTGGACGAATGTCAGGGCCACGCAAGTAAGCAGGTCGGCAAACGGCGCGGAGAAGAGGAGATTGAGAGAGGAGAAGAGAAGAGGAGAGAGGAAGCGTCAGAGGGAGATGAAGCAAGAATTCCCAGTCGTTCAGCCTCGGCCCCGGCCTCAGATCTGGGCACCGGATGTGTATGCCTGAGGCATACATGGTCAGTGCTGAGTCAGTGACCAGCAGCCCTAAGAAAGAAACCAACGACAGCTACAAGACAGCAAGCAACAGAGACACGAAGACAAGGGGATGTCGGCCAGAAGAAGCCTGTCGAGGGTGAGCAGCAGCAGAACTCCCATTAGTAATGGCAGCTGCAGATCGAATCCCTCCATTGCGACTCCCCGCATTTGGCAACTCGTTTGACGTCAGCTGCCACCGTTCGGCGTCTTTGACTGGTGCCATGGATCATGGGCTGGTCTAGAGTGAATGATTCATTGAAACGTCCATGGTCGAGGTCCTAATCTCAGCTGAACCAACCTCCATTATTGGATCGCCGTGACGCTGCATTTGCCCCTCGAGACCAGGACGCATCAATGAGAGTTTACAAGGATGATGCATCGATTTCCCTCCATTGTTTCACGGCGTAGTGGCTGCCACCCGACCCCTCTCGCGGCTGGCCTGGAGCCTATAAATGTAGTGGGCGCCTGGAAAGATCCCGCAGCATCGATCGTCCTGTCAGAAGAGCCATAGGATAACGGTTGTTTTGCCTGAAAACCAGTAAGTGACATTCCTGTGTCCCTTACGGCATCCAATCCAGCACGATGACGTCCTGATTCTCCGGCGGACATTTAACCGTCGTCATCATCCTCGATCGAGCCACCTCATGTGCCTTCATCATCTCATGTTGAAAGCACTGCATCCTGTCTGCTCTTATCATCATTCAACGTCGAGGACTCCTGCTGATAGATCCATCAAGTATCATCACCACACTGCTTGACCATCACCATCTTCCACAATGAGTAGTAACAACCAGCAACCCGAGCCTCCCCGCCATTGGCATGGTGACATTGGCAATCGTCACGAGCATCATAATGTTTGGGTAAGAGGCGGTCCTGCGCAGGCCTACCAGGGCCGGCGACCCTCTATGACTGAGGCTGTCAACGCCATGGCTGATAGACGTGTACGTCTGCATAGTCTCCATCTCTGTCGATCATGACTATCCCCCAGGTCGATGGAGTGCTAACCACGAGGCCTCGAGCCATGTAGGACTCCACATCTTCATCAACTTCTGCGAATAACAACAGTCCACCCATTGCTCCAGAGAGAAGACGATCCAGCGGCCACGGACCGTCGACTCTTTTCGAGAGTTTGACGAGTCAGAAGCGGAATTCGACCGATGCAGCTCGTCGGGCAAGCTACCAGGAACAATCTCAGCAGGGTGGCTTTTTCTCGAAATGGTGGGAGGGATATACGCGTGGCAATTAAATCGCCTTCGTAGTTGGACAGTATTCTTCTGGGGATGTGATTTCGTCGGTCGCATGTGATAGGACAATCATTTTGTTTCAATCTGTTTGATGTAATTACCCTGCTATGCTTACGCTGTGATGCTGCGTTGCTTTCTTTGATTCTCAAGAGACACTGGATGAAAGACTCCAGGGAAATTGATCATGTGGAATAAATCATAAGCATTTGCAATGATACCTGCAATAGGATATGACGGTCGCATGATTCTCCGTAGGACAAGACGTATCGTGGAAGGGAGGATCTCGGTCGAGATGGCAAGAAAAAAAGATGAGGAATCCCGTGACTGAATCCTCAGGCAACTCGAGTTGATCAGTCACCGAAGACCGACTTTCAAGGCTACAGGAGTATTTGGGCACAAGTGGTTTAAACACCAGCATCTACGACTACAGAGCCTATAGGGGACTCGTCCGGACACACGGCTCGTTTAAGAGGGTAGCACACCAGACCACAAGCCAGACGCCGGATCAATATCCGTACCATTCTGGTGGCCATGAAGTTCATGATCAGTCCATGGCGACGTGCTGAGAGCAACAGTCCCAGGACGAACAAGGGACGCAGTCGAGCATCTGGATCTCAGACGACGAGCAGCAACGGCCAGAAAAAAAACCATCCCATGCAACACCACTGAGGGTAGATTGCGTAGGGAAGCATCATGTAAAACTTTTCATCAATGGTTATGCGGAATTCATCACCCTTTGTGAAGCCTTCATTGTGAAAAGTGGATGCATTGTGGAAATTTGATAATTTGATATCTCTAACACGCCTATTCCTCATGTCGTGGTAGAAAAGAGCATTTTCGAAGCAGAACGCCGGTCTGCCGTTTTTAATCGATTCATCGTAATCACAAGCCGAAGGCTTCCCCCATTTGACAACCCCATCAATGAAAAAAAAACATTTACCGGACGATACCGTCGAAGCGGTTCTTGAACCACTTGATGGTCTCGTTCTGGTTGATGCGGTGCTGGGTACCAATGCGGGCCTTGCAGCGGCGACGCTTGGCAACACGCTCACCAGGGCGAGTCCTGAGAAAAATCCATGTTAGTCTTCCCACATAAAGTTTTGCACTGGTTCCGGGGGTGCACTCACATGCAGCAGTAGAAGTCCATGCCGTAGATACCAATGCCGGGGTCGTACTTGATACCAAGATCGATGTGCTCGCTGATACCGAAGCCAAAGTTGCCGGTCTCGGAGAAGTTGCGCTTGCGGAGCTCGTACTCCTTAACCTTGAGGCCACGCTCCAGGATCTCCTCAGCCTTGGGGCCACGGACGGTGACGTGGACGGCAATCTTTTCGTTACGACGGATACCGAAGGTACGGACGGTGTAACGGGCCTTGCCTATAGATCGAAAAAAAATTCTCCCATCAGTCACATAGTTCCATCTCGTATACTCCAAATTTCGTTCTTATCGGAGAAAATTTTCTTGTTGATTTCGGGCGTCCTTACTGTAGACCGGAGTCTGACCGCTCAGCTGCTCAAGCACCTTAGCAGCACGGGTGAGTCTATCACCAGACTCTCCGACACTGATGTTAAGCACGAGCTTCTGGATGCGCAGCTCGCGCATGGGGTTCGCGCTCTTGTCCTTTCCGTCCGACTGCATGGCGAGAATAACGTTAGAATCAAAAATTTGCCAGAGAATTGGGTATTAGGGCGAGAAGTGTTGTGATAAGGCAGGGCGACAACATACCATGGCGACTACTTTGGCGTGAACTGGTCGACTCGTTGAATGGAAGATTCGAGGAAGCGGAAAGTGTGTAAAAGAGAATGTGTGGGTTGGGAAAGGGAAGCGAGAGCCCTTAGCGTCTTGGCGCCGTCGGCTGGCGCTTAATCCGCAGAGCCGCGTCTAGATCACGTTGCCGCAGCTTCAGCAAAGTCCGCGACTCTCAGAGGAGCTCCTGCCTTTGCCCGATCTCCAGCTTTCCCCACGGGCGCATCGTGCAGATTCCGTAGAAGTTCCCCTTCTACCTCATCTCACATCTATTCTTTGGTATTCTCTCTGGTTGTCGCATTCGTGCGCACCTTCTCAGCCACCATGGCCGCCAACAAGCAAGGCAAGATGGTAAGTCTTGTTCTCCGACCTCAATGGGGTCTTGTCTCGGTCCTTTTGATATGATGCGCTAACTGGGCTTTTCTTCTAGCAAAACCTCGTAAGATACCGATGCACACCTTGTCTCCTTCCATTTCAAGAAGCTTAACGTCTCGCAGATCAACTACCGGATGAGGGTGACTCTCAACGATGGCCGACAGATGACCGGCCAGATGCTCGCATTTGATAAGGTAACTTAGATCCAGCCATTCGATAGGCCCTCCTCTTCTTCTACTTTCGTCTTTTATTCCTTCTCTATTCTCGTCGATTGGCCAGCCTCGCTAACGCGTAGGCGCCATTGTCAGCACATGAACCTCGTCCTCGCCGATACAGAAGAATTCCGTCGCGTGAAACGGAAGTCCAAGCCTGCCGCTGCCCCCGCAACTACTCCTTTGGTGGAATCGGAAGAAAAGCGAACCCTTGGTCTCACGATTGTTCGCGGTACCCATGTCGTCTCCTGCTCCGTTGATGGACCGCCCCCCGCCGATCCCTCTGCACGACTTGGAACAAGTGGCCCCGGCGCTGCTGCCGCCGCCGCCACCCTCGCTGCTGGCCCTGGAATTAGCAAACCCGCTGGACGTGGTCTGCCCGTTGGCCTTGGTGGCCCGGCCGCCGGTGTTGGAGGACCTCCTCCGCCCGGTGGATTCCCCGGCTTCCCCCCGGGTGGTTTCCCAGGCGCGCCTCCTCCGGGATTCGGTGGCCGTGGCGGCCCCCCAGGAGGACCTCGTAAGTTGATACCTTCCAATTCATGACGACTGGCTCGTCTAGTTATGAATCTGCTAACGCGTGAGACACAGCCGGCTTTGCGCCGCCTCCAGGATTTGCGCCTCAGGGTGGCCCTCGTAAGTCTTTCATCCCATTTGATACTGTGATACACCTGCTGATATGTACGAATCTAGCGGGCGCTTTCCAACCTCCTCCCGGATTCCAGCCTCCCGGTCAGGGCCGGGGATTCCCTCCTCCCGGATTTGGAGGACGGTGATTCAATCAATGGCCGACCCGGCATGAAAGCTTTACCAAGTTCCAGCCATGGGTGTAGTAGTATGCCGGCATATCAGAATCGGAACCCGAAGAAAACTATCCTATCCACTACATACGCCTGTTCATGGAATAGGTCCAGCACAGCATCCCGAATTGAATCAGGCAAAGGCGTTGCGGCGTGTACGGATGCAGGGGAGTGCCAAGAAAAGAAAAAGGTCGAGCCCCGGAGCGAAGTCGAGGACCGACAGGTGTAATGCTAGATTATGTTGCACGCAATTATTCCATTAGTGAAATCCTAATACGTATGTTCTTGTCTGGTGTTGTAGGGTCGAGGGATTCGTAGCATTCAATGGAGCGCAGGCCGGTCATTATCGCGAGGGCACGTGACATCTCCGGGCAACTCCGCAGTCGGTCATCGCAAAACGGCCTCCGTGTTTCTGACTCTCCTTCCCTCTCCCTCTCCCTCGTCTCAACCCAGACAATCTCCTCTCCGTCAAAATGGCCGCTGCGATCAAGGCAATCAACGCGAAGATCCGCTCCAACAAGGTTGCGGATTACTTCTGCTCCACGCGTATGTACTCGAGCGATCTTTCCTCCCCCATGCTCTTCGTCACCGAGATCGGCCGGCAGACAAGGGCTTGCAATGGGACATTACCGAATGGACCAGGCCAGGCACCGCATGACGCCATTGAGACTGGGTCGCATGGATGATAAGTCCTCGAAACAATCAACAAGGCGTCTCAGCGATTGTGGTCTCATCATCAGAATGTTCACAGATACAGAGAGCTGACATGATCCTGGTGCAGATTTCTGGGGCCCTGCCTCCAACTTCGGTATCCCCATTGCGGCTGTTATGGACACGCAGAAGGACCCTGAGATGTATGTTCGCTCTTCGGTTTCTCTCTATCTTCCTGGGATACCTTCTTCAACCGTGCCCCATTGGGATAACGGCACAGTTCCGAGGGAATAAATGGGGTGAAGTGATGAAAGACGAACAAACGATGGCTGACAACACCTCTTCATTCCAACAGCATCTCTGGACAGATGACCGGTGCTCTGATCATCTACGCCGGTACCTTCATGCGTTACGCTCTCGCCGTTACCCCTGCCAACTACCTCCTCTTCGCCTGCCACACCACCAACCTCGGTGCCCAGCTGACGCAAGGTTACCGTTACATGAACTACTGGCAGTATGTCCATTCGACCCCGGTCCTTTCAGAACCAGTTTCCACGGAAATAAAAGCACAATGCTAACCTCACGTCTCTGTTATTAGCTGGGGTGGCCACGAGGCCAAGCTCGCCGCCCAGGCCGCTCAGAAGGGCAAGGACGCCACCGAAGCTGGTGCTTAGATTCGTCTTCTTTGGGGAATTTCTTGCTTACCTGCTTTTTGTCTTTCTTTCTTCCTTTGCATTTTATGGCGGGACTGTGTGGCTGGGAAGGTTGGCCATTCTTATATATTCAGCTGTAGATTCTAGACAATACGAATATTTCGAAATGGCATTTTTGTTCTCTTGCATGATGTCTCTACATTTTAGATATGAGGTTACAGGAGAGCGTGTTGCTTGCTTGGTGTGGTGGATCTAATGAACCTGCTGGGAATATATACCTCCGGCTCTCCGCGCTTAGAGTGAGATAACCTAGAAATGATGCCCCATATTCATCACACTAACATTGATTCTACCCTGGCACTATCAGAAAGAAAAGCAAGATCTAACCCAAGCGATTGATGATATTGTGCTCACTTGATCATGCCTTCCAAGGCCCCCCGCAGGCTCTGAGTGTGACTGGTATGTATATGCTTGGGATCTATGTGACCGTGCGCTCCACATCTATCATTATGTCGCATATGGCATCAAGTATGTCTTCCTTGAGTGCTGAATCTTGCATACAGATGGGCCCAAAATCTGCCTCACTCCGGAATACCCACGAAATATTTCTGGGATACACTGCCATGGCAACATCCACGTAAGACTTTTGTTGTATGAAGTAATTTGTGTATCGTTGCATCAGTCTGTACAACACTGGGTAGCTCTTCTGGTCAGGCTGCAAAACCTGGCGGTTCTCAGTAGCTTTGACACTTTCGTCTGACCGATGGAATAAAGGCGCCTGAGATTGACTGGTTCATGACTACCTTTGGTGACTATTATTCCATGCATAATTTGTCTTTGCTATCATCTAATGGTTACTGCATAAGCTTCAAAGTTAGGTGCTCGAGATCACCTCTACGGAAACCTCTTCAAGTGAAGCCTTTGACAACAACACCTCTTTGACACTGTCAGAGCTCTCGCAAGCTCTAGCCATCCAGGACTCCACCTCCGTAGCATTGATCGAAAGCATTGAATTCCAAATGGGAGACTGGCTGCATCAAAACGGGGACGATGATGACGACGTTTATCTATATGTTCACGAGCGACTTCAAAATGATGATGCGTTTGAGAGGTGGCGTTCGAACCTTGCCGTGAAACATCAAATTGAGGCGGAAGTGGTGAAGAAGGCCCATGGAGTGTAAGAAATATACCTTAAATATGGTATTAGGTTATAGGTATGTACATACAAAGAGCTAACTATGTATACAAAATGGGTTGGCTGAATGTCAACTTGATACTTTACGAAACTGCCTAGATCGCCGAACGCTTCAGAAGTCTCTCCAGTCTCTACCCAATACACTGGAGGAGGCCTACGATCGAGTTGTAGATGGCATCGATGAAAACTACTTTGATTTTGCTATCAAGCTTCTACAGTTTCTTACTTACTCAGTAAAGCCGCTGAGACTTGAAGAAGCGGTGGATGTTCTGATGGTTGATCCGACTCTAGACCCTCCTTTTGACTCCAGATTAAGGATGCCAAATCCTCGGGAAATAACGGGAATCTGTCTAAGTCTTGTCTCTCTCGTAGAGTGGGAGCGAAATAGAGAGACGATTCTGAAGCTTCAACTGGCACACTCTTCGGTTCAGCAATATCTCAGTTCCAAACGACTCGGAGAAGAAACTTTCCCAGAAAGCACGAGTGACAAAGTCGCGAAACTCAGAGACGAACTCAGTGAAACCAGAGCAAGGGGATCAATTACAAAGATCTGTCTAGCATACTTGTCGCATATAGCCGAGGAGTGGGACCTGGGGACTCAGCAGAAGACAATTCCCGCTGGCGCACTATTCGGCGAAATATTGGATGGGCCATGCAAAGATTGCTGAGACCGAGGAGGACGTTCAGAAAGCGATGCTGAGTTTCCTTCAGCAAGAGCAAGCATGTGTAACCTGGGTTGAGTTTATTGATTCGTGGGTGTAAACCGACAGAGAGGAGTTAGCAGCACCATTGTACTTCGCATCTTTGGCAAATCTCCGATATACGGTGGAAGCACTGTTACAGCGAGGGGCTGATGTCAATGCCGAAGGTGGCCGATATGGTTCTGCCCTCAGGGCAGCCTCATCTCGAGGGCATGAGGAAATTGTCCAGCTGCTTCTGGAGAAAGGAGCTAACGCTAACGCTGGTCATGACAACGCCGTCCATGATTATCACACACGCCTCCGGTTGCTTGAACAGCGGAATAAGAGGACCCTGATGAGGATTCGTGAAGAAGCGAAGCTCTTCGAAAGGAGTTCATAGAAAAGATGGCGATCAATTTGCTATGCAATTTCAGACCTTGTTTGCAGTTCTGTGTTTGCCTCTCTGATGAGTTTTGGTTATCGTCAGCTTGGCGGGCAGCTTAGCTGAGTGATCATAGATTGCTCCAGCTTTTGTGCCTTGGCTCCGGATAGCTCTTATACCCGCTTCTTATGTATGCCTGGGGGACGAACCAGCACTTACGAGCGAGGAGGGCTTGTATATTGTTCAGTTGAGATAGCTGTGATTGAGTAGTGGATGGTGTTGATGGGTTATTTCATTGGATGGTTTTGATATTTGTCTTTCATTTAGCCAAGATGAGAAAATATTAGAAAAAATGATAATAGCAATACGGCTTGAACGAAAAAAAGAAATAACCGAAAGATCTTATACTATAAAACGGAAAAGAAAATCGAGTACGAATGTTGACCAATTTGTAGTACAGCGTCTATAAGCAACAAACAAAAAAAGAAACATTACTCAAAAATGACAAGTATAGAATGGAAGACTAAAAGAGAGAAAACCAAAAGACAGAAAAAGAGAAAGACCAAAACAGAAGTAGAAAAAGGGCTCACATACTGGCTTCGCTTGGCAGACGAACGGTGCAGCATAGCATCAGTCATTTACATAATAGGGGACGCGTTTTCCAAAAGCGACCAGTGTCATGGCACGAAAAATGCTGGGTACATCACAGGAAATAAGGACTCAGGAGGTAGTTAGTTTAGCCGGACTGCGAGTCGCAGTATCCAGGGGGCTTGACCTCTCCTCCACCCACCCAATTGGACATCGTTAGAGCGGTGGTATAGACACAAGAGACGACACCGAAGATAGAGAGGGCAATGTCAGCGATTTGCTGACGTCTTGAGCGAGCACAGGCTTTCAGGTGCAGAAGAGGCTAGGAATCCGGAGTTAGCGACGTCTGGTTGTCATTGCGAGAAGAAATTAACCGGGGATGACCTACCGGGTACACGTAAATCAAAGGAACGCAGGCGAAGCTGCCGACAAGAGAAACAAATTTGTCAAGGTCGTCGGCTCCTCCCCAGGCGACAAAGGCGCAAATCATTACCAGGAAGAACCGGAAGCAATTCTTCTTCCATTTAATCTTAGGGTTGTACTTGCCACTGCGCGTGAAGAGTTCGTTTTCCATGATTCGGATGGCCGGGAAGAGTTGCAGTGGAGTACTCAGCAGAATCGCTAGAGAGTAGAGGAACTGAACGGCATTTACGAATTTGTCGTCCTGAGGAAGGTTGAGGATGACCACAGTTTTCGTTGCCGATCCGTATGCTGCGTAACTGAGGGCACCCGCGGAGAGAAAAATGATCGTGATGATGACCATGACCCCGGCGAGAACGCCCTGAAACTGCTGAGGGTGCTTCATGGATTCTTGGATGGGGATGATAAGACCGACTCCCTCGTAGGTGAAGATTGCGGTTCCTATGAAGAGGGTCCAGGTGGAAGGGTTGAAAGAGATGATATCTGAAACACCGCCCTGGTCTGAGATGGTGAAGATATCGTAGTAGTAAAGATAGATCAACCCCAGCAAGATGAAAACGTCCGCAATTAACGCCGTGAAACCAAGCTTGCTAATATCGCGAACCAACGAAAGGGGCAAGAAGATAACCAATTGCATCAACACCATGAACTTGATGTCAATGAAAGACTTGCACTTGCTGACAGCCAGGACAAAGGCCTGCAGGTTTTCAGCCGTGAACACGATGTATGCAGATACAAATCCCAGTTGACTGAGCACGATGGAGGCAAGAATGATGCGCCGCATGTTCTTTCCATAAAGCGCGCCACCAATGTCACCAAATGACCCTTCAATCTTCAGTCGCGAATTCACCAAAAGAATGAAGGCGTAGAAGCTAAGCAACGAGACCCCGAGCAACACCATGCTGCTAAACAGCATACCCCCATTGAGGAATGCTCTCGGTAAGAATAGGACTCCCGTGCCAACGAATGATTTCAGTAAAAGAAGGGCCGCTCCTGTCCTAGTATTAGTCCCAGTGCCCCCACGCGGCTTTCGCTTCCTTCTGCCAGGAGTATCTGGACGAAGCAGGGCGGTGTCTTCTCCAGGCTCCCTGTATTCTTCATCGTAGATGTCAGAAGAGAAGTACTCGTCCGGTCCCAAGGCTTCGTCATCCTCCTCTAGCTCTTCGCCTGCGAAGTGGCCGAAAAGGGTGAGAAATTCCAGGAAACTGGTGGTAGGAAACTGAGGCTGAGCGGCGGTCGTCTGGGACCCGGGACTTTCACCATCTCCAGGGAGAGGACCCGCTGCTCGCCTTATGTAGTCTCGCCGAAATCCTCCTGGAACTCGGATACTGTTGATGTCCATCGTCTCGGTCTCCGGGGTGGGGCGGTGCAGGCTAAAACTCTTGCTTCGAAGGTGCCTCTTCGCAGGATGGCTTGTATCCGCATCCTCCGCCCATCGGTATACCTGCCGTGTGATGTCACCTCCCTGCAGCTGCAGGCTAGAGAATCCATCTTCCGCGTTACTTGCGCCGTCCCCAGAGGAATAGATGTCACGGTTCTCGACAGCAAGTTGTGGGTTCACTAAATGCCGCTTGATAATATCGGGATCCTCATACGGTCCCGCCGAATATTCTGAACCGGCCTTGTTGTCGAACGAGCCATAATTGGATCTGATTGGCTGAGGTTGCTGCAAGGCAGGGGATGCGATGCGTCTCGGTGGGGTCCCGAGTCTGGGCGGCGAGCGTCCGAGGCTGTCTTGAAGAGCCGACGCGATCATAGACTGGCCGGGGCCTGGTAGCGAAGATGGGTTGTCGACTTTCCGATAATCATGCTCGCCATTCGATGCAGTAGCAGCAGCGTTGATCGGCACGGGTGTCGGTCGAGCCGAATAGGAATTGGGCACGGAAGGAACGGGGGAAGCCAGGCGTGCTATTGAAGCCTGTCTAGCGTCTGGTCCAGGTGAGCCGGTGCGGCTGGTAGATATAGGCGTCGACTGATAATAGTCTTGCTGGGCCGACGACTGCTCTCCGTTGCCTGACATGCCGGGAGAAGTCATCTTGACCGTGATACTAGGACCCTCCGAGATTGTTCGAGTACCAGCTTGAAAGACACGCCTACTCGCCTGATTTCAAACCCTCCTTCGGACGTTGAAGATGAGGGAAGTGCTGACAATGGCTAGTAAGAGATTACCAGGTGGGAGGTGATAGAGGCACGAGGAATGTGGACGGAGAGCTGATCGATCCCGGACGTGGACCCGAAAAAGTAAAGAGGAAAAAAGGTTCCACCACGAGTTCTCCCGACCGCAAGTCAAAAGGAGAAAAGACGAAAAGAAGAAGAAGGCTGGTGAATCCGTATAGGCGGAGTCACTGGACCGGCGGTGGGGTTTGCACTGTTTGCAGCGAATGAAGTCATCAACTCCGGCCCAAGCAAATCAACGCGACTCGACCCTGCGCCAATCTTTCAATCACTCGACGCTGTCCTTGGGACCGGATCCTGACGGTAGTTTAATCGAGTGGTTGATCGCTGACCCAGATCCACGCCGGCCTTGGCTACCTGCGAAGTATCCACGGTCTCTCCACCCTTTATCGACGGGGTTCTATGTTTATGCGAGCCACGCCGCCTCCGTCTGCCTTATTACCTGCTACTCGTTGCGATACACATCTCGGAACCTACATTCGATGTCTAACGGGCGGGACGAAAGCGCCTCAGAGTCTCTGTCGCGGAGGAGACCCAATTTCTCCACACGAACCGCCGAAGAAGATGTGTTCAGACTGGCCCCCAGCGACTCGCCTCGCGCTTCGCCGGAGGAAACCAGCAAGTTTCACAATCTGAGAGCCGCTCTTTCTTTTCGTCCATATGAGCCATTGAATTCATCGACTCGCTCATCGGAGCGCCAACGCCACTCATTGCCCTTCAATTTTCTTGGTGGTCTTTCTCAATGGGGTAAAAAGCCTCGAGACGAAGAAGGGCAAGATGCGCCCCCGGAGAGATCGCGACCTACTGTTCCCTTGCCCGCCGGGCCACTCCGAGAGTCAAGTATCAATCCGAAGGAAAAGGAAGATCAAAAACACCGCGCGCTCGATGGTGACGAGAAGCTCGGCACATTCTCCGGGGTGTTCGTCCCGACTACCCTGAATGTGTTGAGTATTCTCATGTTCCTGCGGTTCGGGTTTGTCCTCGGACAAGCTGGTGTACTGGGCACACTAGGTAATTTGTCTTGTGGGCCTTTCAATCAAATTAGCATGAAAGCTGACACTGCTCTCAAGGTTTGCTAGTTGTTTCGTATACTATTAATCTGGTGACCACGATGTCTCTCTCGGCCATTGCGACCAACGGAACTGTTAAAGGTGGTGGTGCATACTATCTGATATCTCGATCACTGGGACCGGAATTTGGTGGCTCTATCGGAATAGTGTTCTACCTGGGCTATGTGTTGAACACAGGAATGAACGCGGTTGGTCTCATTGACTGCTTCACCCAGAATTTCGGGTCGAAGTCTGGCACCTGGGCCAATTTCCTCGAAGAAGGATTCTGGTGGCAGTATCTCTGGGGAACTATAGTCCTACTGCTATGTACTGGAATCTGCCTGGCTGGCAGTTCGATTTTCTCTAGGGCGAGCAACGGATTGCTCATCATTTTACTCGTGGCTACTTTTAGCATCCCTGTGTCGGCGTTGGTTATGAAGCCGTTTAGCATTCCGAAACTCGGGGTGGATTTCACCGGCATCCGGCTGCAGACGCTCTTGGAGAACCTCAAACCCAGGCTCACTAAAGGTGCTGCAGGAAGTCAGCTCAAAGGGAAAGAAAACTTTCAAGACCTCTTTGGGATCCTGTTCCCAGCGACCGGTGGAATATTTGCGTCAGTTTGTCGATGCCCTAACTGTGAACAGGAAAGCTAATGAGCATATAGTGGCGCAAGTATGTCCGGCGATTTGAAGAATCCCAGCCGATCTATCCCCAAGGGAACTCTTTCGGGACTGGCGTTGACATTTGTTACTTACACCATTGTGATCCTTGCAATGGCTGCCTCGGTAACAAGAGACTCGTTCTATAAGAACACCAATATTGTTCAAGCCGTGAGTTCCTCTGGGCATGGGCAACTCAATTAGACACCAATGCTGATAATTGAGACTTAGACCAATCTCTCCGGTGTGGTGATTCTTCTAGGGGAGTTTGCCACTTCTTTCTTCTCGTCTTTGATGGGAGTCATCGGCTCTGCAAAGCTGCTACAGGCAATCGCGCGGGATAGTCTGCTTCCCGGTTTGAGTGTCTTCAGCCAAGGAACCAAGGACGACGAGCCGGTCTACGCGATTATCGTGACTTTCGCAGTGGCTCAAATCACCATGCTCTTCGATATCAATCGCATCGCCTCATTCGTTACCATGACATATCTTATGACTTTCTTGGTCATGAACCTCGCCTGTTTTCTGCTTAAAATCGGATCTGCGCCCAATTTTCGGCCATCTTTCCATTACTTCAAATGGCAGACAGCAGCAACTGGCGCTTTGGTGTGTGGAGCCAGTATGTTTTTTGTCGATGGAGTATATGCAACGGGCTGCGTTGCGATCTTGTTCGTCCTCTTCCTGCTGATTCACTATACGTCGCCGCCGAAGCCGTGGGGTGATGTCAGTCAAAGCTTGATTTATCATCAAGTACGCAAATACTTGCTGCGACTGCGACAAGAGCACGTCAAATTTTGGCGGCCTCAGATCCTTCTTTTCGTGACCAATCTGGATGATCAGTTCAAAATGGTATCGTTTTGTAACTCTCTCAAGAAGGGAGCGCTGTTCGTGCTGGGCCACGTGCTAGTTACCGATGACTTTTCATCTGCGGTCCCTGAAGCCCGCCGGCAGCAGAGTACGTGGACAAAGTTCGTGGAATCCACGAAGGTGAAAGCTTTCGTCAACATTGCCGTGTCCCCCTCCCCTGAATGGGGCGTCCGGAACGTGGTCCTGAACTCTGGTCTTGGTGGCATGCGGCCAAACATCGTTGTCATCGATCAATTTCGAAAGGGCCAATCCTTGGCCGAGACACTTCAGCCCTCTAGCCTAAGGAAAGATTCGAACGGTCGACGTAGTTCTCGGGACCGAATCTCGGAGGTTTCTGAGCACGAGTCTTCCGAGTCATCGGTTGAATGTCAGAGCTACGTGACGATTCTAGAAGATCTTCTCTTTAAACTGCGCATCAATGTTGCCGTGGCGAAAGGATTTGAGGATTTGGAGCTGCCTGGTCCGCAAGGCCAGCACACGAAGCAATACATTGACCTATGGCCCATTCAAATGTCGGCAGAGCTTGGCGCTGATAGCGAAAGCAAGAAAAACGTGTTGACCACTAACTTTGACACATACACCTTGATCCTTCAATTGGGCTGCATCCTCAATACCGTGCCGTCGTGGAAGAAAACGTACAAGTTACGGGTGGCGGTGTTTGTGGAGTACGAGACTGACGTGGCTGATGAGCGAGGAAGAGTCGAGGCGCTTCTCGAAAAGCTAAGAATCGAAGCGGAAGTCCTAGTGTTCTGGCTCGCATGTGGCGACGTTAAAGCGTATCGGATCATCGTGAACGGCGACACTTCCCCCGAGACCGAAGACTGGCAAGAGAGAGTTCACACGACGCTGAAGGATGAAGAATGGTGGCAGGACATTCAGGCAGCACGCAGAACCACGACAGAGTCACCAAACGAATACAATTCGATCAATCCCTTGGATCGAGTCACCAGCTGGCATGGTGCCTCCAGTTTCGAAAACCATCAGAAACATCCAAGCCAACTAGTTGATGGCCTGAGGAAGTTTGTTCAGTCTTCGCGACGACGGCGCTCAATTTCCAGCTTCCAAGGGTTCGGAGGCGTCAGCCTAGGCATGCAAACGCATAGATTGCTCGACGCTTTCGTGGATTACGACAAATCGGAATCGTCTACAAGTGACAGTGATGACAGCGAGTTTGAGCCTTACCACAGTGACGAAGAGGACATTGGCAAAGCCCTTAGCGACGACGACGACAGCCTAGAGCGTGAGTCTGGGCCCGGTTTGTCACACAAATCGAGCAAAAAGATGCCCAAAGAGCCGTCTGGCGGAGACGGTGAACGACCGAGAATCCCATCTATCATCACGACTGGCGATGGCGATGCCTCGCCCAAAAGCCAAACCAAGCCTGCCCGACCCCCGGTGACGCGCTCTCCATCCAGCAACCGGTTCAGCTCCTCGCCCATCCCGGAGGCCCGAGTCAACACGGACGAAAACACAGGTCCGTCTATTATGTTCGCACCTAGCCCGTCCTCCCCGCGGGGCGCCAACAGGATGGAGTCGATATACACTCGGCGGTCGTCCTCCGGGACGTCCAACCCGCAGCAAGCCGCATCGGGATATCCCAGACAGGCATCCATCCCTCTGTCATTCAACGACCTGCCCAGTCGTGCGCAGCATCTGATTCTAAACGAGTTGATGGCCCAGCACAGCAGCGATACGGCTGTGATATTCACGACGCTTCCGGCTCCATTCGAGGGCACTGCACAGAGTGAGGCGACGAGTGAGTCGTACTTGGGTGATCTGGAAGTGCTCTGGCAGGGTCTTCCGCCTTGCCTACTGGTTCATAGCAACAGCATGACTGTGACGATGAACCTGTGACGAATGTTATGACCATTAGATTTAGGTAAATACTTAGTAGAGCGGACATGCCTTTGCTGATCTTGTATAAATGCACTATACTATACGTACATGCTTATATATCTGTGGATATCAACGAATTGAGGAAGGATTCAATGTAGCACAAGGAACTTTAAAGATAATCATATGATATGTTATTGGGGTAAGGTTCACTGCCCCCGCTCCAATTGGGGCTTGTAGAGACGGTTTGGAATCAGGCTGAAGCGGTCCTTGAGTGTCAACGACGGCCATAGCATCACTACCTCCCCCACAGTTCGGAAGTTGTATCACATACTCAGAAATTCTAGCCAGTGGAGAACTGACACGCGTGTTGGGCTCTCCGAGAGGCCAGCGTCTCTGAACAACATGCTATGTATTTCAATGGCTCTTCCGACTCATGAGGGCATCGTGCAACATCGATGGTTAGCGTTCCACTTGTGGGGCTCATTGATTCTACGAATTTGATCGCGAGTGACCTTGTCCATCTGGATCTCCCGTCTATATAAGCAGGCAGTTCGGCGACTGGACAGGCTCGAAACCACTCTCCAGGACCCATTCAACCCTAAGACTCGATATACTGACACAACTGCCCCCAGAGAAACGAAACTACGAGCCGTCATGCAGCTCAGCACCATCGTTGTTCTCGCAAGCACCGCGATCCTCCCACTGGTTGCCGGCCAGGAGTGCTACTCTATCCAGCGGTACGGGCAACAGCACCAGTGTCGCCGCTGCGACAGAGGCTATCGCTTCTACCGCGAGCGAGGTCGACGATGTCACCCCGACCGTGAATGCTGTCGTGGATACTGCTGCACTGACCATGACAGGGGTCATGATGAACTGGTGAGTGTGCATGGTCCCGTGGAGATCCGAGTCTTCCAAGTGCTTGAGAATGGATATGCGTGTAAATCTGGAAACAGGACTTTGAACAGCCCGACATGCCGTGGGATATGCGGCCAGCTCTGTTTTGAGAGCATTGATGATGTCACGTTCAACACCGATTGTGGGCTATGCAAGGTTGATGGTATGGGAAGCCGAATTAAGGAGGATTACTTTGGATGTTTCGCGCTACTTCAGGATTGAATGATGCTTGGACACTTTAGCGTGACATGATTAGCTGAATGGCATGTGGAGATTTATCATATACACGCCCTAGGTTCGTAGCATTGTAATCGGAGTCGTTTGGACAGCACCCGTAGAGATGTAGAAGTAGGTTACCGAGATGTAGAGAAGACTGGATCATGGAGGGAGGGAAGGAAGTATACTTCCCAAAGAGGCAAGGTGCTGCTTGATGTACAGTACACAATGGGTATGGTATGATACCATACGATATCATACTGACACCTCTCAGGTCGCATTCAGCCAACCAGGGGTCATTCCGTGGGATTCCAACTAATCCGGGCCTGTTGATTTGCTGACCCACGACCAGGCTTCGGTGAATTGGGGAAATTAAAATGAATCAAGATGGGCGAATCCGTGGTTGCGATGGGCTGACTCATCTTGAATAACTGGACAATCATTGGACAAAACAGACAATGCTGCGCCTGTATGGTATGATACACCATCTATACAGTACGATACCGGGGAGCCTAAGGCCCCCAAAGCAGCAGGGCGTAACGAGGGAAGAAAAGCGACGGCGATTTCCCCCAGAGAAAGGATCTCCTGCGTCTCTCTTGATCTTGCCATTCTTTCTTTTTTCCCCCTTTCCCCTCCCATATATTCTCCGATCTTCCGCCTCTCACGGCGCGCGCCATGCTCCCTGTCAGATTCCTGCAGTGAGCACCAGAATCCTCGCTACGACCTCCACGTCATCCTTCCCTCCCTTTCGCTCGTCTCCCCCTTACTTCCTGGTCGCGGTCTGCAGGCCGCAATGCACAACGGCCGTGGTCGCCGCAAGAACGGCAGCGTCAGAGCCAGCAAGGGTAGTCAGCGTGCCACAATCGCTCCTCTCGTGTCCCAACAGTCCCCTCCGCTCCCTTCAAAAACCTCCTCCGCCAGCGATGACAGCCTAGACAGCTCCGACGCTGCCTCCGTGACCCTATCTACTTCCACCACAACCTCTACCAGCAGTCCGCCCTCCAATCCCGTGCACTCGACCTCCTACCAGAACATGGCCAGGAAGACTTCGTCGCCCATGGCGCCTCCCTTCATGGTGTCGGCGCCGGGCAAAGTCATCGTCTTTGGTGAGCATGCCGTCGTGCACGGCAAGGCCGCCATGGCCGCGGCCATCTCCCTCCGATCTTACCTCCTCGTCACCACTCTCTCCAAATCGCAGCGCACCATCACCTTGAACTTCAGAGATACGGGCTTGGATCATACCTGGAACATCGACGACCTGCCGTGGGACGTCTTCCACCACCCCTCCAAAAAGAAGTACTACTACGACCTCGTCACCTCCCTGGATAGCGAACTGCTCGACGCGATCCAGCCCCATGTCGACCAAGTCTCTCCACATATCCCGGAAGAACAGCGAAAAACACATCGGCGCTCCGCACTAGCCTTCCTGTATCTCTTCTGCTCCTTGGGCTCCCCACAACACCCGGGTGCTATCTACACGCTTCGGTCCACGATCCCCATTGGCGCCGGGTTGGGTAGTAGCGGAAGTGTTTGTGTCTGCCTGAGCGCCGCGCTGCTTCTGCAAATCCGAACCCTGGCCGGGCCTCACCCGGACCAACCTCCTGACGAGGCGGAGACTCAGATCGAGCGCATCAACCGTTGGGCGTTTGTGGGAGAGTTATGCACACACGGAAATCCCAGCGGCGTGGACAACACGGTTTCTGCGGGTGGCAAGGCCGTGATTTTCAGACGCGAAGACTACTCGAAGCCCCCCTCCGTTGTCTCGGTTCCCAATTTCCCCGAATTGCCCTTGCTCCTGGTGGACACGCGACAGGCCCGTTCCACGGCCACCGAAGTCGCCAAGGTCGGGAAATTGAAGAAGGACCACCCCGTGGTGACGGATTCTATACTCGACGCCATCGACAAGGTCAGTGCCTCAGCAGAGGAGCTCATTCGCGACTGCGATGAGGGGGTTTCCAAAGAGACGCTCGAGCAGCTGGGCACCCTGATCCGGGTCAACCACGGCTTCCTGGTTTCCCTTGGAGTCTCTCACCCGAGGCTGGAGCGAATCCGCGAACTGGTCGACTTCGCCGACATTGGCTGGACGAAATTGACCGGCGCGGGCGGGGGTGGATGCGCCATTACCCTCCTGCGGCCGGATGCCGACGAGAACGCCGTTCGGGATCTCGAGGGCAAGCTCTCCACCGAAGGTTTCGTGAAATACGAAACCACGCTGGGAGGGGGCGGTGTGGGCGTTCTGTGGCCTGCAGTGCTCCGTAACGGAACCGACGAAGAAGGCGGCGAGGAGATCGACCAGCAAAAGTTCGAACTGGCCGACGGCCCCGAAGGCATCGAACAGCTGGTGGGCGTGGGAACGCAGGAGAAGCGTGACGGTTGGAAGTTCTGGAGACGCGCGATGCACTGATAACGATCTCTCCCTCGTCCCTCACAAACCACCAGCTAATTGCGCTCCTACTATGTGCGCCAAATCTCGTCATTTTCGCCTGCCCTTTACGACCTTATTGGGATTCACACATTATCATTCATGGCCTGAAGGACATGGTACCTATTTCACGATATGCATTTAATCAGCATTTACCCCGTCTTTTCAAATCTGTCGCTACTTTTCTCTTCATCCTTACACTTTTTATTATCTTTTTCAAATTCTGTGTACAAATAATTTATGTCGGTTCTTTATTTTGTTATGACAACCCGGTTTTTTTTTTTCACTTTGTATTTTCTTTCTATGGCTGCTACTGGCCTTTCGGGTTGATTTGATTGTGTCTTCATCTGTTGATTCTTATCCTCGACAGTTCTCGTGTGGAAGTACATGTTTTGGAATCATGGTTAAAAAATAGGTGTCAAGGCAATGCATGAAAACGGTGACTTTGCGCGCAAATATTTAGGCAGCATTACTATTCTTATCATGAAAATTGAGAATACGTTGATCATATCAAATACCACATAGGTCCTGCAGTGTCCTCCTCGAAAAGTGTACTAATTAGATAATAGGGACGAAGACAGATAATCATATTCAATTTCTCGATTAATTCCACATGCAATTACATTCATGTCATGCCCCGAGGGTATAAGCCGTCCATGTATACAAAAACAAACTATTTATGTACAGCGAATAGATTGAAAGACCGGCTGGCAGTTAGTTTTCTCATTAAGAAACCCCATCTCATCCCATCGTCGTCTCCCACCCCTTCTCAATCATCACGTCCATCCAATACACCCCCGTCTCGCCGGCATCCATCCGCTTCCACACCTCGCGCACCAACTGCAGACACACACCAATCGGCTTCGGCGGCAGAACATGCAAGTAGGAAGTCAGACGGCCCAGCACGAAGCGTCGCGTCCGGGAGACCTCGATGGCATGCGAGGAGATATTGGGCGCGGAGGGGTCATCTTCCTCGGCTGTCCCAGAGGAGGGGGAGGAAGCGGAGGCAGATTGGGGACGCGAGAGACGGAGTTCGCTGCTCGAGGCGACGAGGAGGAAGGGTTGGAGGCATCGGGTGCGGGATTCTAGGGGGATGGTCTTGAGGCGGGAGAGCGTGGTCAGGGCGAATTCGGTGAGCCAGTTGTCGTAGTAGCTTGTGTCTTGTGGGGTGGGTTGGGAGGAGGTGGAGGGGTTTGGGTTGGGCTCGAGGTTCGGGTCTGTGGGGATGTAGGATGGGTCGTAGAACCAGGGGGGGTTGATGGGGCCGTCAGGACCGGTGTCGACATCGGGGTTGTTGACGGGGAGGAAGGGGTCTTGGGGAGCTGGTGTCGTGGATTGTTGCTGTTGCTGATGTGGTGGTTCGTTGGTAGGATAAGGTCGAGACGGGGGTCGATGGGCCGGTAAACGACGGCGAAGAAGGTCGGGAAAGGCTCGATAGAGCTGCATGAGCCCCGTGCAGCGGTAGACTTCAGCCATGGTGAGGAGGTGCCAGACGGGGGTTTCGTCGTCGCCGGGACAGACGATTTCGGTTTCGGCGGGATGGGCGAGGCCCAGGAGGCGTTCTTCGAGCTCTCGGGCCTTGTCGATGGCTAGCTGGGCCTGCGCGATGTCGGCATGCGAGGTGAAGATCCGTAGGCGGATGCGCTTGCGTTCGCAGCGGACGAGCCGTCCGACTTCTTGCACGGTGAACTGCGTGTCGCGCGCAATGCCCGTCCACGGATGCGGCACGCGCTGCAGCACAAGCGATTCACCCGTGTCCACGGCCGTGTTTCCCGACAGGACCGTGGCGTCGTCCGCGACGAACGAGAGGAGCATTTCCCAGTAGACCAGGGCTTCTTCGAAGAACTGGTGGTTATTGCCGTGGTGGGCACTCGAGTCCTTTAACGGCTTAGTGTCGAGGTGGTTCCGCAGCAGGTTGAAGAACGAGATCCCAAGGTCTTTGGGATCGTGCCAGCTGGCGGTCTGGCCGAGCATCAACAGAGCCAGCAGGGACTTGTCGTCCATGGCGGCGTCTTTGGTGATGATATCGACGGCCTCGTTGCGCAACCGGCGGCCCATGGGACCGAACTGGGGAAAGTCGTGAACCAGCGTGGCGGCGGCCATGCTCTGCATCGTCTTACACATGGCCAGCGAGGAGCCCCAGAGGCGGGACACCGTGCTGCGGAAGGGGTTCATCTGACTGTCATAGCTGGAGAACAATGCCGCCACTTCCTTAAAGTAGTACTCGATGAGCGTCCAAGATGGGTTGTTCAAGGGTTGGGGAATGGACAGGAAGTCTCGCTGAGGGGCACTAGGTCCCGTAGGAGGGTACTTGCGGACGATAGCAGAAGGGTCGAAGCCCGGAAAGCTGTGCACTTGATTCTGGAGTGCCGGTGCGGCCAAAGAAAACAAGTCCAGCGGATTGTCGGTCAGGTTGACGAATTCGAAATCGAACAGCGAGCTACCCTGCTGAGCTCCCGGCACCGTCGACGTCGAGTTCGGCGACGGAGGACACAGATCTGTCAGTTCAGGAAGTGAGTTCGATTGTTGCAAGTCCCAGAGATTGTCGCGGAGGGCATTTGTCTCGTCTACTTCGAGCCCTTGCGGCGTCGGGGTGCTGCCGGCATTGAGACTGACATCACCGCCATCCACCAGAAGCGGGGAATCGGTCAGGATATCGGCGAGACCCAGCGATCTGAGGCTGGGAGACTGGTCGGATCGCGACGAGGCCTCGTCCTGTTTGTCCTGCTGGGAGATGCTCTCGTCCTCGCCAGTTGGGCCCGGGGTATATTTCGTCACCCAGCGCAGATTCTGGACGTAGCCGGGACATTTCACGCCCAGGCGAGTACATCGATTACAGTGCGGTTTCTCTTCCCCGCATTTGACCTGTCAATGGGAATCTCAGCCTTCCCCCGGGTCTTTTCGATTCCCGGCAGTCGAGAGACACTTACCCGTTTGCTCTTGCATCGGGCACAGCCGTTGCGGGATTTCTTTACACGACGCATTGTCGACTAACCCGGATCAGGGGGGAGGTGGAAAAGGAGGAAGAAGGGAGGAGGAAGCGTTGGCTCCCATGGTGGCCAAGTGGTGAGGAGAGCAGCGTCGAGTGGAAGAGACAAGCAGAGACGAACAACGAAGAGGCGCGGAGACAATGCGGGGAAGTGCCTGAGGCTGCTATCTGCGCCCAATCACCGCCGCCGGGGCCGCATTGCCTCTTCGGGAGACGGGTCACGTGATAATATTTGGTGTATACTTTGTGAAATATCACTAGATGGATGGGGGTGGATAAATACTCAGAGACAGTGATTGTGTTCAAATCCCAGTGTAGAGGTTGTGCAGGGTACATGGATTATGTATAGCTATATAGTATAGGTCACTATTTACATAGTCATCCCCCGGGGATGAACCCGACGTCATTTCGGATGGAATGCCGAGAAGGGAGATGGAAAGAAAGAAAACTCATGAAACTGAACCATACTCGCCTTGTCGGTTACTTCACCACTCTGGAGTCTGGATTCAAGAATGGCAAACGAGGCGATTGTTGTTGATTGACACCCGCCCGGTCAAGTGACGCCCGCCCATTGTCCTTCCTGCTGCCTCAGGCCGCCAGCCCCACCGCGCTTTTCTTCGCCGCTTTTCCCTCCTCTCCTCCTGGCCCCGGCGATCTATACTTCTTGACCTCATCGCTATTGATTCGGTCGACTTATTCCCAACAGATCACCAGTCTCCGTAACATCCTGGCTCTGCCATTCTCGCCTTGATCTGCCGGCCACTGCATCATCTCCCTCCCAAATGGCCGAGCCTCAGTCTTACTCCACAGACCCCGAATGGGCCAACATCCAGCCCATCGAGCTGAATGATGGCTCCGACTCCGGGTCCTTGCCATTGGCCACCATCGCGTACCCGTCGGAGTACCTCGAGGCCACCTCGTACCTGCGCGCCGTGATGGCCGCCAACGAGATGTCCGAGAGAGCGCTGAAGCTCACCGAGGATATCATCTCCATGAACCCGGCCCATTACACCGTATGGTAAGTTATCGATCGCTCGCTCTCGACCCGACGGCATGATGAATGAAATGACTGACACGACAATGACAGGATCTACCGGGCCAAGATCATCTTCGCTCTGGAAAAAGATCTCCACGAGGAGCTCGAATGGCTGAACCGCATCTCCCTGAAGTTCCTCAAAAACTATCAGATCTGGTAATACACCCGCATCCTCACCGGTCTATCTATCTTCGCCTGCCAGACGCTAACCCCCAAACCAACAGGCAACACCGTCAGGTCTTAATGGCATCCACGACCCATTTCCCAACGCTCCCGCCCAAGGAGCTGGACTTCCTGATGGACATGTTCGCCCAGGATTCCAAGAACTACCACGTCTGGACCTACCGCCACTGGCTAGTCCGACGATTTCAGCTGTGGGACACGCCCCGCGAGACCCAAGACGTGGAGAGTCTGCTGAACGCCGACGTGCGCAACAACTCCGCCTGGAACCACCGATTCATGCTGCGATTCGGCCCCCGCGCCAACGAGCCCGACGCCGGCATGCCCAACAGCAACGGTTGGTCGGCCGAGAAGGGCCAGCTAGCGGTCGTCGATGAGGACCTGGTCGACGCCGAGCTGGAATACGCGAAATCGAAGATCCTCAAGGCCCCGGAGAACCGCAGTCCCTGGTCGTATGCGCGCGGGGTCCTCCGGGCCTCGGGACGTCCGCTGTCGGAGTGGAAGGATCTCGCGCGGCGGCTCGTCACGGATAAATTGGAGAATGGGCAGCTGGTGGATGTCGAGGTGAAGAGCAGTCATGCGCTGGAGTGGTTGGCGGATGTGTATGCAGAGGAGGGCGAGCCGTCGCCGGCGGAGGCGGTGCGGATGCTGACTCTGCTGAAGGAGAAGTATGACCCCATTCGGAAGAATTACTGGGAGTATCGGATTAAGATGATCTCGAGTCCTGCGGTGGCGGCAGCTTGAACGGGTGGCAATGTATGTAGGTTGGATGAGACAAAAAGGTGTAGCATCTAGGACAATGATCACTTTCATAACGACGTATCACATTCTTCAGATAATTAAATCGGCATAATATATTGTATAGGTGCCCCTGTATGTGAGAAATCAAAGACAACAGGGGAGACACAGAAAGATGACAAGAGAAAGAGAAACGCAATGGCCCGCCATAAGCATCAATCATGAACAACCAGAAACCAGTACTAGCAATGCAATGCAACATTATCTATCATCGTTGAAGGATTCAATTCGCCCATCCCTCCTGGAGCATTTTCCGCCACTCTACCGCCGAATCGATAGTGACGTTGCTGCCACCACATACGACGATCACCACTCGGCTATCCGCATTCAAGTCCGGCACCAACTGCTTCAGCTTCGACTGCAGCGGCTGCGACGTCGAGGTCGAAACCGAAGACGACCCCGAGTCCTCGGCCCCGGACTCGTTCTCCGTGGCCGACAACCGATCATCCCCGTATCCTTCGTCCCGCGAGGGGTTGTCCTCCGTTGTTCGCTTACGCTTACGCTCCGAAGACACGGGAACTACTGAAGCGGACGAGGAAGCGACGGCTTTGCCCGCATCCCCAACGGCCGCCTCCACACACACGCCGCAAGCCAGCTCCACAAGGAGCCTCTCTTCGTCGACGAGTCGCAGCACACCGCGTGCCGCGTCGGCGTCGGACAGCACCGCGCTGTGCACGGCGATCCCGGCCGGTGGGGACACGACGTACTGGAAGGTCTTTTCGGAGACCCGGATGGCTCCCAGCGAGGTGGCCTGGGAGGTGATTTTGGGTAGCGAGACGAGCGACTTCTGCGCCACCGCGGCGGCGAGGGAGTCGGTGCCGTCGGTTTCAATGGCCAGGAGGTGGATGGGGTTTGTTTGGGGGGTAGTATCACCATTACCGCTGCTAGCAGCGGCGACGGCGAGCTTGTTGTTTTGTTTTTGCATCGACCGGTGTCGCTCAATGCCCATGACCAGACCGTTAAGCAGCCCACCGCCTCCTACGCTGCAAATCACCGCGTCCACGGGCAAGGGACGGCCACGATGGGTCTGTTCATCGTCGTCCCCGACGGCGGGGGGAAGCTGGAAGACGAGCTCGTCGACAATGGTACTGTTTCCTTCCCAGATGGGCTCGTTATCGAAGGGGTGGAGGGCGATCTTAGCGACATTGGGGCTCTCGTCGGCGTTGACGGACTGCATGACCACGGCGCGCATGTACTCGCCGGCCTCGGAGAAGGTCTCGCCATGCTGGATGACATCGGCGGCGCCGGCGGTGCGCAGCTTCTGCACCATCAGAGGCTTCGTGGAGAGCGGCACCACGACGGTGCACGGGTAGCCCAGGGTGCGGGCGGCGCAGACAGCCGCCAAACCGGCGTTGCCGCCAGATGAGGCGTAGAAGTGGACGGGTCGGTTGATGTTCTCGGGCTTGACGAGGTGCGAGAGGATCTGGTTGCCCATGGCGCGGGACTTGAAGGAGCCGCTGGGCTGCACGTTCTCCAGCTTCAGGAACACGTGGTATCCGGCTGCGCGGGAGAGCGAGGCCGATTCAACCAGGGGGGTTTCCACCCAGGGGGTCTTGAAGACGGGCTTCACTTCTTGTGCAATGCTACCCATAGTGGAGAGGAGGAGGAGGAGGAGGATGAGGAGGAGTGTGTATATATAAGAATCTGCTCAAAGGGACGAATAAGATGTGTTCAAAAGAGGATGGGTCAAATGGTTCGAGAGATAAAAATATAGAGAAAAGATCTCATGTTTCGTAGTAGTATACAAGCTGAAGGAGTAGGCTGGCTGATAGAATGGAGGAGGGGAGTATAAAAAGAGGAAGAGCCGGGGAAAACAGACACCCAGCCAAGCTCAACAATCCGATATAGATAAACTCAGAAAGGAAAAGAAACCCAAAAACACTAATCAATACAAACCCTTGCATTATCTGAAGCGTATACTTCAAGTTCTGATATACATACTTCGGTATCGTCCCGACAGGTGTTTTCCGCGGGAAAAGCCAGCGTTCCCCGTCCCGATATCAATCAGGTTTGATCATCGCGGATCTGGACCCAACTCCCGCTGATAACCTTGTGGACTTGCGAACTTTAAGCCTGTGGGCCATGACATAACATAAATACTCTCATAGGAGCTCTCCCTTGGGGATTCTCCAACCTTGTAAGTTTAGAAGAAGTTAGTACCAGCGACGACGACCGGGAAAGGCGTTCATCGTTCCCAGCCGTAGCTAGTGTTGGCGGAGAAAGAAAGTGGCCTTCACATAAAGATGACACAGTCGAAATATTTCTTGCACTATTCTGTAGTGGCTGGAGCCGGCCACTTGTTCTTTTCTGTTTCTTTTTCATTCGTTGCTTGGCGCTATCGAACCGGAGAATCACGACAGTGGACATGTCTTACTCCTCAGAGATAAGAGGGGGGAATAGAACCGTCTTTCGGACGCCTTCCCCATAGTTGGAATCTGAATTTAACTTTGCCGCCGAGAACATTCGACTCGAGGGATCCGTGCTGTCAACACAGAGGTAGTCTAGAAGCTCTTTGGCCTTGGTGGGCATGAATGGTTGCAGCAAGATGCCGGTGATTCGTAGTGACTCGGCAGCGTGGTACAGACAGCGAGGGGCATTTCCCCCGCCTTTCCAGGGCTCCGATGCATGGAAGTACTTGTTGGCCTGGGGAAGAAAGCTGTTAGTACAGGGTCTCGTTCCGACCAATTCTCGCCGCTCTAGCGTACCTGTTCAATCAAGTTTATGATCTCGTGTAGAGCTGCACGCGGATTGAGTTTCTCCATTTGTTCTGCCACCTTGAGAGGTGTTTCCTCAATCAGTTTCTGATACGCGAGATCGTCCTGACTAGCCGGCGGAAGGCTGTCGGACGTCCCGTTCACGATGTGTGTCCGGAGCTTCCCTTTGGAGGACCCTGCTAGTCGCGACGCCAGATTCCCGATTCCCCATTGCAATAATTTCTTGTAATCCCGGATAATGTATTGATTGTCGTAATCGGAATCCCCAGCGAAGCCGCCTTGGTAAACAAGGAAGAAACGCATAGTGTCCACGCCGAACCGGTCGATGGCGAAAAACGGGTTCACTACATTTCCCGTGGACTTCGACATTTTCTCGTGATTCATGGTCCAATGTCCGTGAACGAGGACATTGTGCGGTAGGGGGAGATCTAGTGCCATCAGAAAGGCGGGCCAATACACGCAGTGGAATCTGGAAGGATCGTCAGTCTCGTACGTACTCCACCAAAACAATACGAAAGGGAAACCCTACCGGACAATGTCCTTGCCCACAACGTGGACATTTGCTGGCCATCCAAGTCGGCCCTCCTGGCCGGGAGGGAATGGGTATCCTGCCTTGGTCAGGTAGTTGATCAGCGCATCAAGCCAGACATAGATTGTCTGTGTCTCGTCTCCCGGAACGGGGATGCCCCAATTCAAGCGCTCCCTAGGTCTAGAAATCGACAGATCCTGGAGGCTCGAAGAAACCGATCGGACCACATCCGTAGCGTAATTTGAAGGAGCGATGAAGTCCGTCTTGTATAAGTCCAACAGGCGCTCTTGAAAGGCAGAGAGACGAAAGTGATAGTTTGTTTCCGAGGACCACTCCACTTCTTTTCCGGTTTCGACTGACACCTGTGCACAGTGAGCAGATGCTTTTTGTTGATGTGTTGCTGCTATGGTTTGTCATGCATTACCATTCTTTTCCGTCCTGTAGTTGGATCCAAGGAATTCTGCACCTGAGATGGAGGATAAAATGTTTCGTCGCTGACGGAGTACCAGCCTTCATGCTTTGCGGTGTAAATGTAACCCCGATGGCTCAGCATTTCCTGGGTATTCGGTCAGACGTGTGTTCAAAGGCCTGGAGAGAAGATCACACGACATACCCAGAAATACTGAACAGCCTCCCTATGCGCTGGCTCGGTCGTTCGAATGAAATAGTTATTATCTAGATTCGCCGTTTTTGCCAACGCCTACAAGTCACCGGTTAATCGACAAGGCAAAATTATTTGGCTTTGCGCGATGGCATTGAGACACCGACCTCGAAGGTTTTATAGTTCATATCGCAGAAAGCTTGGGTATCCATATCTGCGGCGAGTGCAGCTTGTTGAATCTAGCGATTATAGTCAACTCGAGTAACCCAGGCTAAGAAATGGGCGATAGGTACCTTCATCCCGTGTTCGTCCGTTCCCGTCAAGAATTGGGCGTCATGTTCCCCATTCAGTGTCCGCCACCTCTTCACCACATCTCCGATAACCATAGTGTATAGATGACCGATATGGGGCGCTATAATGGTAACATGTTAGTCAGCGCCAGCCCCGAATGAGAAGTTGAGACGATGGGAACGTACCTGCATTGACGTAAAAAATTGGCGTTGTCACGTAGTAAGGCTTCTTCGTCCCTTTATCCACCGATGTCGCAAATCTGCGCGGAAGGACCGCGGAGGTTATTCGAGATGTCCTGCAGGAGGCGCATTTCCAGGATGGGCGTCTGTAGGCCAGAAACTGGCTAGCCCAGGAGAGAGCACGAAAGCGATACCTGGGGAGAGCCATTGCGAAAGGTAAGTAGCAGAGACAGAGGAAAGGGAAACGCGAGGATTCCGGAAGGTGAATGATTGAATCTCTTCGGAGGTGGACAATCTCCGGGTGGTCCAAGCTTCCCCCCCGTACCTGGGCAGTACGGCAAGCGATAGCGGCCAAATTGCCAAGTCCTACTCATCTACATAACTACATCTACCAAATAAAAATTGACATGGGTTACGCTCTAGTATTAACTCGACAGCTGTCTCCGGATCTCGGTGGTTGCCCCGCTTTTTTCACCCTGACAATCAGTCCAAAAGCAAAGCATCCAGCGTTTTCAGGGCCCATTTAGAAGTTGTAAGCTCCGTCGACGGAGAGTCATCGGCGTTACGCTGGAATGCGTGGTGCAACACTGCACCGATTTTGCTCGCCTGTATCGCAGTAGTAAGGATTTCCTGCTGATGTACAGAATCATAGATCCCGCAGTGAGACCCAGAATTCATCCCAAAAAGTATCGAGCAGTTGTAGGCGGCATGTGTAATTGTGCCAGCCGCTGACGTCCATGTAACCAGTGGCTAATAAGAGAGAGCTCAACTCCATGCCAAATGGCAGTACCCCAGCTAGAGACTAATCGACAATCCCTGTGATCCCCAAAGTCTTCTCGCTAACTAGGATGTTTGTTTGCGAAAGGTCATTGTGTGTGAGAACTTGCGGGTAGGTGTCCTTGAAGAGAGCTGGGAGACCGTGTTCAAGCTCGAGGATTTTTGTAGGGGAAAGTATAGAGGGTGATACGTTTTTTTAGCTTGGTGAGTCGCAGACGGAGTCGGTTCTGACAATCTTCTCGCACTTCTGGCTCAACCGGCTGAGGCCTCGACCAGCACCGAGCAAAGTATCTAGAGAAAATCAACACTACGCCTTTTCATTATCTAAGGGGTGGTAGGAAAAGTATTTCGGATACAGATCAGCTGATATTTATATTTTATAATCACTGGTATTACATAATTAGGAGTGTCTCTAGCAAAAGTGGGAGTGTCCTTAGCAATTCCCTAGGAAAAAGGACGAGCTACCTGGCTAGATGCTTGATGAAACACAAATGCTTGGCCTGTTCCATGGCATTCAACTCAGCCTTAGAGCTGAGCCCTTCCAAGCAAGAAATGCCTTGCAAACAGGGCATCGTATAGATGGGAAGAGGTGGGTTAGCAGCAGGCATTGTGCCATGGTAGGTGGCTTCGGGCACCAAGGAGCCGTGTATGAACTTTGCCAGCTGGATAACAGCCTGATCTAGAGTGGACTCAGATTCTCGGAAGGACACGATCAAATCACGCCGTTCACCTGGACAATCTGGACAAAGGACCGTGTAGCTGAGCGAGCCAGGAACGGCAACTTCCTGGACTGTGGAGCCACCGGAGATCCTACGGGCATGGTCGTCACACTCAGATTGAGTTGGAGATTCACGGGCTTCGAAGAACCTATCGATGGCTTCTTGAGTCCACGTTCGCTCTTCCATTGATTGATCCTTGGCTGACGAAGGTTGGGTTTTATTGTTGGAATATTTACCAGATTAAGTACTAGTAGATAACTAACTGAACTAACTAACTAACCAACTTAACTATCAGAGCGACAGTTTGATAACTAGTTAATAACTAACTAGTTAACTAGTTAACTAGGAGGTGTTAGATTACCTAATAATAGAAATTAGTTATGACATGCCCTTAGGTGCCCGTGCGCGTGCCCGTACCTTTTTTTTTTTTTGCGCTCCGCCTGCATTATTAGGTACCCTTCTTCCTCTTCCCTTCCCTTCACAGTCCCCACAGTCCGGCTTTCTATATACAATCGACTCTTTCAAGGTTGCAATTTTGGAAACATTTACTCTATCTTTTATCCTTATCAGTTTATCACTGCCTCGAGGAATTTTTTCTTGATTGATTCGGTCGCGTATTAGACGGCGATCCAGCCTTTCTTGCACAATGGCTCCCTTGGGTGAAGACACGCTGACGAAAGTGTCCACGAACGGTATGTTACTCTTAAGACGAAGAAGGGACTCTTTAATCCCGTGGTCTAATATTTGGTCTCGTCTCTAGCGGCTACCGAGTTCGTCCAATCTTTCTACCCCGCGCTCCAGTCCAACCGTGCCTCGATTTCCTCGTTTTACAGCCAACCTACTTCTACCATCATCTTCAATGGCAACGTTGTCGTCGACGGCAGCGCGGTCCAGGAGATCTTCGTCAACCAGATGCCTCCAACGCACTACGAAGTACAGTCGTTTGACTGCCAGATCATCAACCCGGCTTATCCTACTCCTACGACAACCGGTGTGAAGACGCCCCAGGAGACGACTTCGAAGGACCTCTCGATTTTGGTGGTCACCAGCGGATTTGTGCGCTTCGGCGAATCGAGAGATCTTCCGCAACGCGGGTTCAGCGAGACTTTCGTGCTGGTTCCGAACCCTACGGCCGATGCTCCCAAGGGAAAGCGCAGGAGAGAGTGGCTTATTCAAACACAAACCTTCCGACTGGTGGTCTAACTGAAGCGGCTCCGTACGGGCAGAATGCTTCATTTTGATGAATGACTCATGTTATACATCATAATGCGCCCTATGACGACTCAACGAATAATATTCTCGGGGCCCGAGACTCGATAGCCACGCAACCCGCAATGGTTTAAATTACGATAAAAAAAAAGGGAAACAATATCACAAACGCCAGGAACGCCCACAGACTGCGCGACAAGCGAAATCGCCAGAATTATGAGGAGGCGGATCTGCGCGGTACACGCAAGTTCGCTTTGACTCGTTCCAGTAGCTCCTCCCGCGTGGAGCTTTCATTCGGCAAAAGTCCTCTCTGTCAAGTGATTGTTAGCGTGACAACTTTTGCTTTTCGTCTCGACTTTTCAGTTTTGATGTCTTGGTTTTGAGGAATCTCGAAAGGGTGAGACGTACGGCGTGAAGCCATCTTCGCATCTCATCGGCCGTCCAGTTGTTGGGATCTTAAATTGAACCGGGATCAGTTGATGCGTCTTGAATTACGTGCTCTAATGCCTACCTCCGGTTGGATCTGGTTGCGTCGTTATATCTTTACCCCAGATGGCCCAGACAGCAGCCGCCGTGACCATTCCCGCAAAACCTAGAGGAATTATGGCTTAGATGAGACATTTTTCGCCATTTTGCAGAACTGATATTCATACCCAGGAAAAGGTTCTGGGGTTTTTTGTTAGCCGGTGCATGTGAGATGTTTTTTGTTTCTGATGTATGAATGAGAGAAATACCTTGGATTGCATGGCTTTATCGAGAGGGGTAGGCATATTGGCAGGAATAGAAGGAAGTGATGGCTGCGTAGAGGTAGTGGAGAGAGACGAGTAACGGACAGTAGAGGACAGCTACTCCCGTATGATATACTCCGGACAAACCATCCAAACCGACCAGGTGGCTGCCGCCTAGTCAGAGCACCGCCACAGTGACGTTGAGCCCAGCCACGGCCGAGGCTTGACTTGTCAGGGCTCCCAGCGGTGCAACCCTAAAGCGGCAGAATCCCACAATAACCGCCTCGACCAACGACGTCAATCAAGATCGACTGACAGTCTCCATTCCGCCTTCAACTACCTCATCCCATCACGTCACAACCATCTGCCCACCATGCCTCGTGAAGTTTCCGACATCAAGCAGTTCATCGAGATCTGCCGCCGCAAGGATGCCTCCTGTACGTCTTTCCTGTGACCGCCGGACGGCTCCGGGTGCTAGAGCTCCCCGGCTGGAGCTCCGGGCTGGATGTTGGGAGCTTGCACCGACGCGAGAATGACCTCAACCTGGAAGGCTAACCATCCGTCTCCGTAATGTACAGCTGCCCGCATCAAGCGCAACCGCAACACCCAGCAGATCAAGTTCAAGGTCCGCTGCCAGCGCTTCATCTACACCCTCGTCCTGAAGGACTCCGACAAGGCCGACAAGCTGAAGCAGAGCCTACCTCCTTGTACGTTCATTCATTCGAATTACCTGACGGGGCCTCCGTGAAATGGATGGATGGTCATCGGTCTCGACTTGAGACCAATTGCTATACACCCGGATGAGAGACGAGATCACGACGGTCGGGCATTTGAGAAGCGCCTACGCTAACCTTTGGTTCTTGCCAACAGCTCTCAAGGTCGTCGACGTCTCCAAGGGTGACAAGAAGAAGTCTCTGTAAACATCTTCCTTCACCGGAACTAAGATTATAGGACCGCGGGGGGAACAATAGTCGCAAGCATGATTCAACTGTCGAAAGGGAATTGGCATGGACATAATTGCCCCCTTGTGGGCCGACACTGGAATGATCGGATTAAAGCATAAATGATATGTGGAAATGGCCATTTCAGCGTCTGTAACCGGATGCTGTGTGTCTCATAGTCAACGCGAACGGCATATTTTCTTACCGGCCAGACGACCTACAATTCTCAATTAATCGCCAGGGTATGCTTTGTCGGGGCATTCTGGATTCTACAACACAATAAAGATCAAAAAAAGTTGAAAACCTTACGCAACTCTTTCGGCATCCCGAGTGTACTTTTTCATGGTGCAACAACGCTGATGCTGATCGTGTTGATCAATGGATACCCATGTACTTGACGGCTTTCGCCGATTCCCTTTCAGGATGCGGCGTGGGTTTTGTAGGCAGTCCAGGGACTTTAGGGGAAATGGTAACATGGTTCCCACCGTGTAGGAGCCACACATAGTCGAGTCATTAGTGACTTGGGTGGATCGATTGGCCCTTACGGGCCACCCGATGGCAGCCAGCTTGGCGTGCTCTGAAGCGGTCCAAGGCATGCCAATGATGCCCTTCTCGACGTGGATTTGAGACAAGATGGAACATGTCAGGCCCGGAAGCCGGTCCCATCCAACACTATCTGTAGTCTAGATAGTCGATACCGACCTTTAGCGACGATCTTTCTGACGCAATCAACTGAATAGGCTAAATTGGGTCTTGGCAGGCTGTTGCTGAAACACCTGCCAACTACCCTCCAATTTCGCCCTGTCACAGGCTGGATGATCGTCGGCCTTCTCCAACACTCAGGGAATCAGGTTGATTCCTCCCCTTCCTGATCCTACTGACTCGAGTCCCTGTCAATGACGGGGAAAGAATGCATTGTTGGTAAACACAGTGCACCCATAGGACTCCGTATTCCGTGCTAATTGTTATTATGAGACTATGGGCTGCCGGACTTCGCGCTGACAAGACCCTGGTGACCACCTAGAATACCGGAGGTTTATACATCCCATCGCCCCTTGGCGGCACGGAGTAAGTCCCGTCGAATCATCACTGCAGCTGAGGCGCTTGAGCGCTAATCATTTCTATTCAGGTCACGGTAAGGTCCCGGGGGATGACGGATAGATCTTGGTCATATAAGGCATCCACTCTTTCTACCCCATCGTTGGAAACCCAAGACGGCCGGTGCAATTCCTTTTCAGGAACGGATGCAGAACCAGATGGTCTAGGGGCTTCACCATCGTTCTAGTCCAGTCTCGAGAATTGCCGTCGGACCGTCACCCCGGCCCTGCCCTGGGGGATCGGCATGGCTTTGTCCAGGAATAACTCAGCCATGCAGAATGCCACACGCTTTGTTTCTACCTCCTCATCAACGAGAAACGGAATCGGTCCACTATGGGTCTTGTTGTCTGGGCGGGTACTTCTCAGTTCCTCATGTTTCCACAGAACGGCCGAGTGTGATACTTCATAGCCCGACTTTCTTTTTTCTTTTTCCGGTGCCAACACCAAATCCCGGGAGTTCTGGGATGCCCATGAGGTGTCGAGTTTTAGTGATGTATTTCTCATGTCCAAGTGCCGAGAGTAGTACTGCCATGTTCTCACGGTTTACCCCGTAGGACAAGGGGAACAAGCCCGAGGGTCAAATGCAACTCGTCAAATGCAGGTTGCAACCTTCCAAGCGCTGGTCCATCGTCAGTCCGGGATGGCCCTATTGGCGGGTCGTCGCTGTCGAACGGACCTTGCACCGTTGAATCCATGGATAAATCACCGACTAACCTGGCGTTACAGACCAGACAGCCAAGCGTGGAGCGTCCTCCTGTCCCTCATTGCTAATTATAACCAGGCGTCCATCAGATGGGATATAAAATGGGCGCTCGAATGCCCATGAATTGGTTTTTTTTTTCTCTTCATCCCCAACTCACTGAACTCCATACCCATTCCTTCTCTTTGCCTTTGGTCAAGCAGGACTCTTAATCATCGGCACCGGATTTGACATCCTTTTACTTTTTTTGAATCATACACAATGGCCCTCTCCAAGATTGCTTCCCTCACCGGCCTTCTGGCCTCTGCCTCTCTCGTCGCTGGTCACGGCTACGTCTCCGGTATTGTTGCCGATGGCACCTAGTATGTTCTATCCCCTATAACCGTTTACGTCAAGAGTGACAAGAAGCTGACGAGGATACAGCTACGGCGGATACCTTGTTGACAAGTACGCTTACTCGGACAACCCTCCCGACACCGTTGGCTGGTCCACCAGCGCCACTGATCTCGGCTTCGTGGATGGCACCGGATACTCGTCGGAGGACATCATCTGCCACAAGAGCGGCAAGCCCGGCGCTCTGACTGCCTCCGTCAAGGCCGGCTCGGACGTTGAGTTCCAGTGGACCGAATGGCCCGAGAGCCACCACGGCCCCGTCATCTCGTACCTTGCCGCCTGCGACGGCGAGTGCTCGGCTGTAGACCCGACTTCTCTCAAGTTTTTCAAGATCGACGCCAAGGGTCTCATCGACGGCAGCTCTCCTCCCGGCCAGTGGGCCACCGACGACCTGATCAGCAACAACAACTCGTGGACCACCACCATCCCCTCGTCCATCTCCAACGGCAACTACGTCCTGCGCCACGAGATCATCGGTCTCCACTCGGCCGGTCAGGAGAACGGTGCTCAGAACTACCCCCAGTGTGTCAACATCAAGGTGACTGGTGGCGGCAGCGCCAGCCCCGATGGCACCGCGGGCGAGTCCCTGTACAAGGCCTCCGACGAGGGTATCAAGTTTGACATCTACTCCGACCTGAGCGACGGATACCCCATCCCCGGCCCTGAGCTTTACAAGGCTTAAGGTTTCTTAGGCTGGTTTCTGTTTTATCTTGCTTGGTGGATTGGACTTTTGTCTCTAGATTGATCAAAGTCATGTTAAATACCGGATAGTGGAATGAGGTTGGATTCTTTGAGAATACTAGTTCTCTGTAAACGCTTGTAAATCTTTTCGTACGCATGGGTCTGTGGTTCCAACCTAGATGTTCAATGGGATTGTTCATTGATAGTTAGTTCTTGGTGGATTACCAACCATCACAAGGACTGCCTCCAAGAATAGTAACTGCAACCTTTGGACGAGGTAATATAGTCATGATCATGCAAATCCCCCTACTCACTCCTCTCATACTCCAACTCCACATACCCAGTAACCCCAGCACCCTCCAAACCCCTATCAACGCCCTCCCTCCCCAAATCCGTCCTCCTTAACTCAAACTCCCCAAAATAATTCGGCTCCTCCGTCACCCTCTTAAAAAACGCCCCCTCAAACAGCGCCAAACTCCTACCATTCGCCTGCCCAATCTTCACACTCAAGCAAGAGAACCTCAACCCTGCATCTCCCTCCTTCTTCCTCTTCCCCATCGCCTCCCTAGCCAACTCATCCCCCGCCAGGAACTCCTCCAAAATCCTCCCCTCCTGGTCAACCACATACCGCAAAAACGCCAACAGCGCGGCCCTCCCAAACCCCTGTCTCTGATTCCCCTTCTCGGCAACCATCAGCTCGATCTCTCCGACAATCAGCGGCTCCGAGTCCCCTTCCTCGCCGTCATCGACGCGCAGAAACAGGTTAATGTCGCCGATCATGTTGGACGGACTGTCGTCCTGCGGAGTCAGAGATGTCGAAGACCCAGAGACAGGTCGACAGATGATGAAGGTTAGTTTGTCGGGGTCTTGGCGCCAGCTGCGTTGCATGGCGTATTCTTCCTCTAGGGAGAGGGGTTCCGAGGCAGTGGCTTCTTGGATTTCCTGGTGTTGTATGTTAGTGGGTTTGGGGTGAGGGTTCTGTTTGGGATGAGTTGTATGGATGAGTTATGGGTGGGCGGGGTAAAGAGATATCGTAGTATAATTTTTACATTAGGGATGTGTGGGGTAGGGAGAGTAGGTAGGTATAGAGTAGGATGTTAGGTAGGAGACATGGCATTCATACGGGGTCTTTCATCCACTCGTGGTAGCGCGGGACATGCCATTTCGAGTATGGGACGAGAAGCACCTTCGAGGTGGAGATTGCTGCAATTGATATTTCAGCAGGGTTTCCTTGGTCATAAGGCTATTTTACATACCGGTTTCAGCGTTGAGAAGCATGTTGGCTACGGGGATCCTTTTCTTTAAGATGGAGAGGAGAAGGTAAAAGGTCCGCGGAAACGATGGTTTCCTGCTCGGGTCTTGGCACGCGGCCTGAGGTATACACTCATCGTCAATTCATATGCACTCCTGAATTACATGTATTTGGGATATCTATATAACCGGACAAAAATCATATTCATTGCTTTTCTTCGCTCCCGGCAAATGCCCCGAATTTGATCACCTCCGTCTCCAAGGTCTCCGTGTCCACTAGAACAAGTTCCCCGGTTTCGTGGAACTTGGGAATGGACAGAAGGCGGACTCGCTGGGTCGCAGCGGTGTCATTAGAGTCGGTCATCTCAGTGTCGGCTCCGTTGAGTCTCCATGGTGCATCGCTTTCGATCACGGCGGTCTTAAAACCGGGTTGGTTGCCGGTGAAGAAGATATGGGGACAAGATTCCATCACAAACGGATCGTGTGTTTGAAAGGGGTAAGACCCTGTGGAGAAAAATTAATACCGTGGGAAACCGTAGCCATGAAAGAAAGGAATCGGCTTACAGATCGTATCAGGTGCCGTGGGCACACCGCATCTCCAACGCAGCATGGCCTCCATGATTCGAACCCGGGCCTCCCCATCGCCATTAGCATCGATATTTCCATCCTCATCGGCAAAATCGAGGTAGCGAAGGACGTCGTCGACATTCTGTCCACTCGAGCCCCACACACGCCAGCCTTCGATGTCGCCCTCCCATGGGTTTGTGACGCTGTCGAACCAGCCTGGTTCTAGCGTCTCACCGCCCGACGGAGGTGCAGCGCAATATGCTCTTGCCCGCGGGAACATGGCCCGATGGATCCCTTGTTGAGGCAAGGCGAAATTTGCGGGATCACTTGCGCCTGGCATGAGAGTCACCGGTATGCTAGGCAGGATCTCCGCGAGGAAGTTATCTAATTGGGTGATGGGCGAGGCATTGTAAGCAGAGGCGTCATATCCGTACTTCTTCGGGCCGCTCTTTTTCTTTGCAGCCCCATTCTCATTGGGGTCCACGGTTATACTGGCTCCGAGTGAGTTTCCCGCAATGACCAGTCTCGTGATTGCGGACGCATTCAATGGTGCGCTGTCATCGTTACTCGCCGAAGTACCCGTGTAACCCAGTAGATAGTCCGTCAAAAGTTCCAGGGCCAGGGTGTCACTCGACGTTCCCGTTATTCCAAGACCACTCACGAAAGCGATCTTGCCCTTTTTGGCTCCACCCTCCGAGACAGACTCGTCTCTCTCCCACCGACGAGGCTGCCGAGCCAGATCAGGGACCTTGATGTCAATCGACTCAAAGTCTCCGTTGGCATTTTCAGTTCCCAGGACAGCAACTATAGCGCCCGTTGCCAATTGCGTGGATCGCAACATACTCCCCGTCAATCGCAAGCGACCTGATTCGTCTTCGAGCATGATCTGCGTCGAGTCGGGATTCGAAGGATCGAGATATGTGCGGCGAGGCGGGGGTGCCAATGTATAATTCTACCGTAGAAGGATGAGCAAGTTGAGGCGTTGGCGGGTCCATGATTCAGTTCTTACATCTTTCGTCAAGTCATCCAGAATGTTGGGTTTCAAGGGCATGTCCATGTAGATTGTTCCGGCCACCCAGCAGAGCTCTCCCTGCCTCACATCCAAAACACGTTCTACCCGACGCGCGTGTTCTCCTGCAACCTATCTCAAGCCAAGTTGATCAGCAATTGGCCAGTTGACGAGGGTTGTGTATTCCAGTCGGCGACGGTCGCATTGTTCAAGAGCGCCGTAACTGCGCGAGAATTGGGCTTACACTAAATCCTTCCCATGCTTCGACTGCCACCTCCTCTACTGCCGGTTTCAGCTTTGCGAGTCGCAAGAAATACATATCGCCATATTGTTGTTGATAGTGCCGTTCTTGGCCGGGGGGTAGTTGGAAGGTGTGTAGAGGGTTGTAATACGAGGGTTCACGGTATACAGGCGTATATTCCGTTTCACTAAAGTAACAAGTTGAACTGTTAGCAATTGTGCTTCTATTAAGGTATTCAAAAGAAGCTGTCGTTCAGAGCTTGAATGGTCTCGGCGAGGGGGTTTGGGAGCGGACCTGGGAGGGCGCATAAACTCGCTATCTGCCGCGTTGGAGGCCATGTTGTCGAGCTACCTGGCCGATCATCTATCGACCGAAGACAGTGGCAGCGGCGTGTATAGGGAAGCGACGGAGGGTGTGTGGGGAGGGAAGGGAATGATCGTTGAAGGTTTGAAGGTCAGTGGGTTGAAGAACTTCATCCGTCGGACGCGAATCACGCGTCTTTTGGCGTTCCGTAATTACAGTACCGCTTTGGGCCGTCGGCGGGACCATCCACCATCTTACTCTCGACTCCTCAACTTCTTCGTCTCTGCTGTCATCGAGGATTACTCCGTAATGAGAGGTCATTCTTCAGACAGAACTCGAGAATCGTGATTGATGGCCCCGGGTATCTGGGATGATCTCTTTGCACCTACTCTCAAAGACCCAACTGACCACACTCCATAGTGTCCCGAGGACATGTAAATTGATCGAAGACACGTTAGCAAAGACCCAATAAGGTCTAGATGATCTTCGTCGATCTGACGATTTAATAAATACATGGATGGCAGACAGGAATCTTTTGGAAGACACTGGGGATGGTGGTAGTGTCTATCTACTAATAAACCAAAGCTTCACACCGTCGGAGATAACACCGCTACAGGCATGAAGAGCCAAACTTGACCGTGGGCGTATCACGTCAAAGGCTTACCACGATGACCAAGGGAGACTGGCTTGCAATGATGAAATGCTACGAATGGTCATGCCAGAGGAAATTCCATATCTCGTACTCGCCTCACCCCACATGCCAGCCCCTCGGGTATGCCGAATGTTTCCCTCTTGAACACTGAAGCACTGACCAAATCGGTCGCGTTACAGATCAAGGGTTATGCTATTCTGGCTGGTAATGGAGGAAGACAATGGAGGACGGGATTTTCGTGATTGCAATGGCCAGAATAGGTCAAGTAGAATACTCAGGAAAATGCCTCTGATCCGCATTCTGATTCAGTCATTGTTGTTTCACCTCGCAGTACTGGAATTGGCTCGTTCTTATATCCTGTGTCGTTCTCTAAAGTGGTTTCCTTTCCAGGCCCATAGCCATTTATCTTTTTCAAGTCGAACATTGCATAAAAATTTAACTCAACTGCCGCGCTTGAACTTCTGGACGAGTTCAACGATGAGGTTGTCAGGCCTCCTCAGCTGCCCAGTAGGGTTCTACGTCACAATCCTGCTGATCGGCACATTGACCACGACATTTGCATTTGACCTCTTCCTACATGACCTTCGGACACTGTTCAGACGCAGTCTTCCCGGGTCTCTGGCGGTCGCTCCCCAAGGCGCAGTAGGCGACTATCAACCTCCGCCGGGGCCTGTCACAGATAATCATTTGCCGTTGCCAACATGGCCGGTGGCAGCCACAATGGGAGCTGCGAGCACGCCTACTTCCGCCCGGGATGCACCTCAGGGAGCGATGGAAGCTTCAGCACAAACGAGTAACGTACCGGCGAACGTGTAAGTTTGAGTGAACCCATTTGGGATCATGCCTGAAGTTGCTGACTGCTGAACCACTTTTCATCTTCAGCCCGCGAAAGAACGTTGCTATCGTCACTGGAACGGTTACGAGACTTGACGCGGCGATGGCTGCGACGCAAACATCGATGGCGAGCAGGGACGCTGCCATCTCATCGACAAGTTTGGTGTTTTTGGTCCTCGCTGCGGTGCTACTCTGACCGCGCGATTATAATCGCTAATTGCAAAACAATGATGAACTATGAGTAGTCAAATTCAAGCTTCACACATGTACATAAATCCTGATTGCGAGCCATGGTAAAAACTCAAAACAAGATTCTCGAAAGCTAATTGATTTGATTGTTGTAAATGGCATACTCATTCATCTGTTCAGTAGCGGATGGATGAGGATGTTAAGTCCGCTTATCTCCGACGAACATGGAAGTAGGAACAACCCGTCAACAGTCAAGCAGGCACAGTAGCCAGGACACAAAAGTCCACAAGAACCTCTAAGCTCGGTCACGGCGAGGATCTGCAGCAGGAACCAACAGCAGCAAAGGGCAGGGAAGCCTCGGTCCGGGGAAGCTCAACTGCTGATCTCCGCTTCCCCGCATTGCGGCACGTGCTTTATGAACAACTTATGCGCGCTCATATCTTCAATCTTCACATCGCATCCATCCCCGAGTTGGCTTTAAACCAGACATATCCAACTGAGAATTTTACTTTCTTTCTTTCTTTTCTTACTCTGTTATAGCATAGGGTGGCACTGTTTATACCTCCGCGATCCCTCCTACCAGATACTACTGTTGATTCAAATTCAAAGTTCAAAATACTATACAACCACACCACCACACCATGTCGCTACAAACACCTCTATGCTCCCTGCTCAAAATCAAGCACCCGGTGCTCCTCGCCGGCATGGCACGCGCATCTGGAGCCCCTCTAGCAGCCGCCGTCTCCAACGCCGGAGGTCTAGGAACCGTCGGCGGTCTAGGCTACAGCCCCGAACAACTAGACGAGATCCTCACGGAGCTGAAATCGCTTCTCCGCGACCCGTCGCTGCCATTCGGCGTTGACCTGGCCCTGCCGCAGGTGGGCGGGAGTGCGCGCGCCACGAACCATGATTACACGCACGGGCAGCTGGACCAGCTCATCGACGTGGTGATCGCGCACGGCACGAAGCTATTCGTCTGCGCCGTCGGCGTGCCTCCCGAGCGGGTCATTCGGCGACTCCACGACGCGGGCATCCTGATCATGAACATGGTCGGGGCGCCGAAGCACGCAGAGAAGGCGCTCGCGCTGGGCGTGGACATCGTGTGTGCGCAGGGCGGCGAAGGTGGCGGGCATACGGGCGATATCCCCTTCTCAGTGTTAGTGCCGGCGGTGGTGGATGCGGCGAGGAAGTATCGGAGTCCCTTGACGGGGCAGCCGGCGCTGGTGGTGGCGGCAGGGGGCATCAATGACGGGCGCAGTCTGGCGGCGTCGCTGATGCTGGGGGCGTCCGGGGTGTGGGTGGGGACGCGGTTCGTGGCCTCGGAGGAGAGCGGCGCCAGTCGATTGCACAAAGAGGCGGTGGTCGGGGCGCAGTATGGCGAGACGCGACGCACGCTGGTCGTCTCCGGACGGCCGCTGCGGATGCTGCCGAATGACTACGTCAAGGAATGGGAGAAGCGCCCGGACGAGATTGCCAAGTTGACGGCCAAGGGCGTTGTGCCGATCGAGCACGACTTCAACAACGACAAGGAGGTCGACATTCCGTTCTTGATGGGCGATGTCTCGGCGATCATCAAGGAGATTCAGCCGGCTGGGGTGATTGTTCAGGAAATGGTGCAGCAGGCAGTGGATGTGCTCAGGCAGGGAGGTGGCTATATCACCAGTACTGGAAGCAGTAAACTATGAGTCCCCGGAGAGGGTGGGATGAAAATCAATCAATTCTGTGAATATGGAATGGAAATCTACAGAGAAATTTTTTTTTTTTTTGTCTTCATGAAACCATGATACGTACGTTTAGGGGTGTTGATCTAACATGTACAAGTACAGTAGTAATAAATTGAACCAAATTAAAAACAGACCATGATGCAATGTGCAAGAACCCCCGGATTCCGGTATGTGTTGGACAAGAGCGATGCACATAAAACCGACTCAAAAGACCCGAACAGAGCCAGACACACTCAAACATAGAAATATCCCAGTGATATCCGAGCACAGTTTGCCGGTATTGTCTCGTCAAAGAACTGTACTTCAAAGACCAGACCGAATGCACAATATACACATCAGTATGTACACTCGCCCTCGGATAGAACAACACCCTTTGTCCATGACCGCTGGTCACAGGTCTGGCTTGAGAAAGACCGATCTCTTTGCGAGAGGACCATATGATTTTTGCTAATGGCATCCATTCATCACAGCTTTGTTTCCGTTGGCCCGCGCCTCCAGCAGATTCGGCGGAGGGGGCGGTCCGAACACAGGCTTTTCTGGTTGTTGCGATACGCCGCGTTCGCCATTGATGTCGCGGTCGGTGCTTTCAAGCTCGTACTCGTCGTCGCTGATTCCCTCGTCATCATCGTCCTCATCCTCGTAGTCCTCGTCGTATTCGCTCTCCGTGCCTTCGTCATCCCCGTCGAGGTCGGCCGCGAGGCCCTGACCTCGGCCCTGGGCTTGCATCCGCCGGCAGAGGGCTTCGAGATGATGACTTTTCTTTCGCCATTTCTCGAGTTCTTCATAGTTCCTCGTGCGCTCCTCGGCCATTTCCAATATATTGCGATTCGTTTGGTCATGTTTGCGGGTGAGCGTGAGGTTCTCCTTCTCTAAGCGCTTCGTCTTCTTCGACATCTCCTCCATCTCTTTGCGGAAAGTAAGGAAGAGTTCGTTGCTGTTGTTTAGCGTATCCTCCACCTGTGATATTATTATTACCGGTGGGTCAAACGCGGGGTGGACCTGCGACATACCTGTTTGAACTTCTCCACATAGATGTTGAGTTGACTGCGCAGTTCCGCTTCGGTATGCGAGAACGTAGAGACCTGCGAACTGAGGGCGCGACAACGGGCGGCTTCATTCTCGGCGGCTCGACGTTGTTCTTCGTACTTGGCGGTGAGACATTGTATCTCTGAGTCTTTGCTACGGAGGAGCGTTCGATAGTGCCCTTCTCGCATCTCAAACTTCTCGCCGATGGTTTTGATCTTTGCACGTAGACTATACAGTGACCACACTCAGTAAGCAGTTTCGGATGGGCCAGTGAGCGCTACTTACGCTTCGTCCAAGTCAATGTCCACCTTCTCGCTTCGTGGACTACCTTTGGCGGCCATGACGTCTTGAATGTCGTACAAGAGCGAATCCAAGCGCTCATTGACAATCAGCCTCGCCTTCTTTTCCGTATCTTCTAGCTTCTTGTTTTCGTCCTGCAGATGTACGAGGGAACACCATCAGCATTTGCTATCCCGGACAAGCGACATGTTGGGAAGTGCGAAACTGACCTTGACTTTTTTATTTTCTTTGGTAAGCTCCCTGCATAACTTTTCGAGTTTATCTTTCATGGTAACGGTCTTGCTCAGTTCCGATTTTCCCTTGTCCTGATCTTTTTGCAACTGGTCTGCCCGCTTTTTGCTCTTGGCATAGTCGCGATCCAGCTTTTTCATATCCGCCAAAAGTTCAGTGTACTTCTTGTGAACTGTCTCTAGGCGGGTCATCGGGGATTCGATATTGCTGAGAAGTTGGTTCAGGTCTCTCGTAGCCTTCTTGACTTCACGCTCTGTAGTCATTTCCAGTTAGGATCCCAATTCCGCAACAAGACAGTAATAGAAATGAAGCCCGTTCCGCTCGAGAACAACAAGGCACAGATCACGCACCGATCTCCTGTTCTTGGTCCTTCTCTCCGGCGGCATCTTGTTCCAACTGAGAGATCTTGGCCGCTAAGAGCTTCGACGTCTCATTGGGATCCGCCACCTTCTTCCCCTTATTCTTTTTGGACATTGCGGCCGACGACATGATGGAAGGCTTCTGACTCGGTCCTCCAGACCCAGTTGTGCGGCTTGCGGTCTTGTCGGCGGTTGTCGCGAGGCTGGTTCTCGGAAAGGAAAAAATGCGAAGACGGAACGGTGGGTGGTGGTTGGTTGGATCCGGAGTTCTGACGCAAAGCCGCCACGACAGTCAATTTGCAACCACGCTCGCAACCGACGGATGACGAGAAGACGGGGAGGTCTCAAGAGCCAAGTAGGCGATCGTCGGCAACTCTTGAATCGAATCGACCTTTCGACACTAGCGGAGTACCTGGGTGGCCTATTTAACAGACTTGCAGAACTCGGAGGTTACGGGATCACACCGACTCCCTATGCAACCAAGTTCTGCAGAGCCAGCGAAAGTCGTAGGGGCGAAAGCACACGGAAGCTGAGAAATCGAGACGGGAATCGGGTCGTGGGGGTCGCGGAAGTTCGAGATGTCTCGAAGAACTTGCTGGGGAGAGAGATCGAATCCCGTCGTAAGAGGGGGCATGCGCACTTCACTCGCGCTAGCCTTTTACGGACAATAGTCTTGGCGTCGATTATTCACCTTCCGATTTCTCAGAGTAACTTAATCAATTCTCCTCCTCCTTCTCCTCCTCCCCCATCTTTTTCTGGACACCTCCTTCTATTATACCCCCTCTCTCTTTGTGGAGTTGTTTTTATTACGTTCGTTTGTGTTTGCCAGAGGTGGGTTTGTTCGTGTTCATCTCTCGCCGCTGCATCCCGGTCCGTTCGCTCGGTACCCTAGAAACCATCTCGCCAACACGTTACGCGGAGAATAGCACAAGCTGGCACACCTGACACAATCGTCGCGCGTGCTTACCTTCCGTCCTTATTGTACAATCAATCAAATTCCTCTGATTTGTTGACGCGATGTTGCGTTCATCCTTTGGGGTAGGCAAAGGCCGCTTGCCGGCCTTGAGGCAGCCGGTCTCTGGTCGATGGTTGAACCCAAGAAGCTCTATCCTTGGCTCGAATCAGTTCCGAAGAAACGCTTCGTCTGTGACTAGTCTTGAGAGCTACCCCAGCGTGGGTGAGAGTCTTCACGGATTCACCGTGCAAGAAAAGAAGCATGTTCCAGAGCTACACCTAACGGCAGTCCGACTAAAACATGACAAGACGGATGCCGATTACCTCCATGTGGCAAGGGAGGACAAGAACAATGTCTTCGGTGTTGGATTCAAAACGAATCCCCCAGATGCGACTGGCGTGCCTCACATTTTGGAACATACGACCTTATGTGGAAGTGAAAAGTACGACCCCCATCCATCAATACCAAGTCCATCTGTGCAGTACCAGAGCTCACACACATTTCCCTATATAGATATCCGATTCGTGATCCTTTCTTCAAGATGCTCCCCCGATCGCTTTCCAACTTCATGAACGCCTTTACTGCCTCGGACCACACGACGTATCCATTTGCCACGACCAATCAGCACGACTTCCAAAACCTTCTCTCCGTCTACCTAGATGCGACCTTTCACCCTTTGCTTAAGGAGGAAGATTTCCGACAGGAAGGCTGGCGCCTGGGCCCAGAGGATGCGCGTGCGGTGGAAACCAAGGACGGAAAAGCCGAGGACGTCTTGTTTAAAGGTGTCGTGTATAATGAAATGAAGGGTCAGATCTCCGACGCAAACTATCTCTACTATATCAAGTACCGGGAAAACATCTTCCCTGCCATCAACAATTCCGGAGGTGATCCCCAATATATCACGGATCTCACGCACAAGCAACTCGTGGACTTCTCCAAGCGGAACTACCACCCGAGCAACGCCAAAATTTTGACCTACGGGGACATGCCCCTAACCGGTCATCTTCAGCAGATTGGTGAGGTGCTTGACGGCTTCAATAAAGGGGAGGCCGACAAGTCTGTCAAGAACCCCATTGATCTTACCCGGGGCCCTCAAAATGTTACTGTCCCCGGACCCATCGACACGTTCTCCAGCGAAGACAAGCAGTTCAAGACCTCGACCTCATGGTACATGGGTGATACCACCGATGTTGTCGAGACTTTTTCTGCTGGAATCCTGTCTTCTTTGCTGCTGGATGGCTATGGCTCGCCCATGTATCGAGCTCTGATTGAGAGTGGTCTGGGCTCCTCGTTCACCCCCAACACAGGGCTTGATCCTTCCGGACGGGTGCCCGTTTTCTCGGTGGGTGTCACCGGTGTGAGCGAAGAAGAGGCTCCCAAAGTCAAGGAAGCCATTCAGCGAGTCTACCAGGAATCTCATTCCACTGGCTTCAACGACGAGAAAGTCCAGGGTTTCCTTCACCAGCTGGAACTCGCCTTGAGGCACAAGACGGCAAACTTCGGCATCGGTGTCATGGAAAAGACCTTGTCCTCCTGGTTCAATGGCACCAACCCCATGAAGGAACTCGCTTGGAACGAAGTCATTGACGAGTTCAAGCGCAGATACCAGCAGGGAGGCTACCTTGAGTCATTGATGCAAAAATACTTGATGAATGACAACTATCTCACCTTCACCATGGTCGGATCGCATACTTTTAACAAGGACTTGGATGCCCAAGAACTGGTGCGGAAAGAGAAGAAGCTTGCTCGGCTCGTTGAACAGCATGGCTCGATTGAAAAGGTCGTTTCTCATCTCACTGCCGAGGAGCTTCAATTGGTTGAAACGCAGGAGGCTGCCCACAATGCCGATTTGAGCTGCTTGCCTTCTCTTCGCGTTGAGGACATTTCGCGCGAGAAAGAGCGCAAACCCGTTCGCGAATCTCGTGTGGATGACGTCGACGTTGTCTGGCGTGAAGCCCCGACCAACGGCCTGACTTACTTCCAAGCGTTGAATTCATTTGAAGACCTTCCGGACGACCTTCGATTGCTGATGCCCCTGTTTAACGACTGTGTCATGAGATTGGGTACTGCAAACAAGACCATGGAGGAATGGGAAGATCTGATCAAACTGAAAACTGGCGGGGTCTCGTCGTCTGCATTCAATGCCTCTTCCCCTACCGACCTCGGCAAGTTCACAGAAGGTCTTAACTTCTCCGGATTTGCTCTCGACCAAAATATCCCGGAGATGCTGGAAATCCTCACTACTCTGATCACAGCAACGGATTTCACTAGCCCTTCTGCTCCTGCTATGATCCAGGAGCTGCTGCGATTGACCACCAACGGTGCTCTCGATGCCGTGGCCGGGACGGGCCATCGTTTTGCCCTGAATGCAGCGGCTGCGAGTCTTTCTCGGGGACTCTGGGTTCAAGAGCAACAGTCTGGTCTGGCGCAACTCCAGGCGACCGCTAACCTTCTGCGCGATGCCGAGACTTCGCCCGAACGTCTCGCCGAGTTGATCGAGAAACTACGCCTCATTCAGTCGTTTGCTATCTCGAAGACTCCTGGTCTCCGGGTTCGCATGGTGTGTGAACAAGGAAGTGCCCACCAGAATGAGTCCGCCTTGCAGAAATGGTTCGCCGGGTTGCCCCAGACGTCTGCGCCCACCTCCGTGCCTGGAAACACAGTCTCCAACCAGGCTCTCACCAAGACATTCTACGATATGCCTTACAAGGTTTACTATTCTGGGTTGGCCATGCAAACGGTGCCATTTGTCCATTCGTCGAGTGCGCCGCTCAGTGTTTTGTCCCAATTGCTTACCCATAACTACCTCCATCCCGAGATTCGGGAGAAGGGAGGTGCCTACGGTGCTGGCGCTAGCAACGGTCCCGTGAAGGGTATGTTCGCTCTGACCAGCTACCGAGACCCCAACCCCCTCAACAGCTTGAAGGTGTTCCAGAACTGTGGCATCTTTGCCAGAGATCGCCCATGGTCCGCTCGCGAGCTCAACGAAGCTAAGCTGGGCATCTTCCAGGGTCTGGATGCCCCGATGAGTGTTGATGAAGAGGGCGCCCGGTACTTCATGAGCGGTGTCACCCATGAGATGGACCAACGCTGGAGAGAACAGGTGCTCGACGTCACGGCCAAGGATGTTAACGAGGCAGCCCAAGCCTTCTTGGTCGACGGTTCTCGGCGATCCGTTTGCATGCTTGGCGAGAGAAAGGACTGGGCTGATTCGGAAGGCTGGGATGTCCGAAAGCTTTCCATGAACCCTACTGGTGAAGATCCTGCCGCTTCGGCTTAGGCGTTGGTGAAACACTCTGCGTCGAAAGTTGGCCTTTCAATGGCGCTTGAACCCTCTCCGTCCCCGTTGACTCTGTTTAACGATTTTGGATGTGTCGCTTGTCCTGTCGGCGACGCAGTCATGTATCATAGATATCCCTGTATTTCTATTGATGTGTACACGCATGGTAGACCTGTATATAGACCCCCGTTTGTACGATACATTTCATCTCGACTCCCTTGTTGCTTCCTATGGATGACCTTCATTTCGACCATCACGCGCATCTCAAGAGCAGAACATCACCCCGTCACCGGTCTTTTATCCCATAGCCGGTCGATGGTTGGTTTTCCGATTCTTTCATGAATCAGGAACAAGCGCAAGAACAGCAGTGAATGTGAACCCCGTTGGTGGTACACTTCCTATCTCCGTTTTTCAGACCCTCCCTGAAGCTCTTTTAGCGTCTCTCAGCCTACGCAGGACGGACTAAAAACGCGAGAACATGAAGCCCAGCCAGTATAGACCAGCGATGTAGACCGCCAAAGAAAATGTGTGGCCGACGTGATGAGGTGAAAAGCACATGACAGCCAGTCCTGTGACACCGGCCGACAATTTTTATTTTTATTTTTCTAATTTCACCTTCAGCTTTCCTCTTCCCTTCCATATGGCTAAAGGAATTCACGACATTCGCCTTTCCGGTGGGTCGCAAATTAAAACAAAGCGATGATGAACGCCGCTGCCGATAATTAAGAATCGGCTCTCCTTTTTTAGGGCGCCCCTCACGTGGCAGCGAAACAACAACAACTCGGCGGATGCTCGGGTCTTTTTCTGTAGATGCCATCTGGCCCTGACCCGGAAGATCTCTCCGTCAAGTCTGCCAAAGAGCCTCGTTGCTCTCTTCGTTTCCCCAGAGCCATGCAGGTCGGCAGTAATTGCGTTCATCACTATGAAAAAGACTGACACCATCGTGTTGGGGCCAAAGCCAACTAAAGCATGCGGTAAGTGGATCATGATGCATGGCCACGATTCTCGTCGTGAAACGCTCAGGCTAATGTGAGGGGGGTGTAGTTAATTGCCGTAGGCTGAAGGTCGGAAAGACGAATCCAGGCAAGCCATTGACGGGGTCATTCCAATACTAACCGATGTCCATCTATCTAGATGAAATGTGAGGTTGATGGCGCGCCTCCGTGTCGTCGATGCCGCCACACCAACACCGCGTGTCTATTCAAGCCTCGGTCCAATGTTCGTACTGGTATCCTGGCTTCCAGATACCGGTCGGTGCTTATTCTATTTGTCTTTTAGGCTGCTGCAGCGCACGAAGTGATATCAATGCCACCAGGTGCTCAAAACCCGGGTTTCTATCCTCAAACAGCGCCTTCTGATCAAGATGCGCAATCCATTCTTGGCCGGTTAGACCGGATCGAGGCTGTTTTGGGTATCAATAAGGACCGACCTGCTACCTCGTCAATGAGCGTAGCGTCGGATCTGGATGAGGAGGTGATCGACGTGCCTTTCTATGACTTATGGGCAGCGGCAAAACATTTGAGAGCGATCACTCGCCCACCACAGGACGACAGCATTTGGTCACGACCTACGATCAAGATATTATGGGCCAAGTAAGTGTCTCGTACCAAACCACTGAAACGATGACTCAGTAAACAACACCTAACTCAAAATCAGGTTTCTTGATAATTTGCCCCTGCTGCATTTTCTGAAAGATCAAAATGCCTTCTCCTCCCCTTCACCCCTTCTACTCGCCTCTGTTCTTTACATATCTGCACTTCACAGTCCCTCGGCTGAACTCGCATCACTGGCTGGTGGGTACTTGGTGGCCATCTGCAGCGCAATTGCTGAGCTTGTTATTCCAAGCCCGTTGCCAACCCTCCTGAACTGGTCAAGCGCAAACCTAAGACAGCATGACCCTTCCAGCAGTAGAGAGGAGCAACACGTTTTCCAAAACATCCTTGGTTTGATTATGGCTAGCCTCTGCTCGGAGGCATTCGTCGAGACCACGGACAAGTGGATCGCTATAGCCTACCGACTTTTGCTTGACCACTGCCCAACTGCTGCAGAAAGCACAGCTCAAGATTGGCCTGGCTTATTCTCAGGAATCCAAGTAAGCTGACCATTGAACTAATCATGGAGGTTAACCAAGGAAATGCATCGCTCATAGCGCAACAGGTAATCGATATAGAGCATGCATCTATGCACATGTGCCATCCTCTCCTACCAAGACAGCCTCCTACGTCAGCTTTGCAGCAGTTAAACAGCCATGAAGGGGACGCGTATCGGGGCCTAACTCAGATCATGCACCATGGACTCAGTCATTTTGTAAGGCGAGGACTTCCGACCATCTGGTCCTTCGTGAGCGCAAGGGAACCCGACACACTGCCTTCAGTGCGGGCACCTTTCACCGACGAAGACTCCCAAGTCATTCGTCTGTGGGCAAAGAAGCTAGACGACTGGCTTGTTCGGTATAATGGGACATCTCGTAGGACCTCGCCTTCGATCGATCTTGCTATTGTACTAATGAACAATACGTCTTAGAGCCGTCCCCGTCAGACCGACAGGGAATCGTCATCCTCCTGCAATATCACCTTCACAAACTATACGTCCTCTCGATATATCATCCGGCGCGTGGATTCGATCTGTCTTCGGCAAACATAACCCCGGCCGAGAGACATGAATTGTTGGTATCGGCTCGAGCCGTGCTACGGTTACGCCAGGACGACGCTAGCATCTGGTCGAACTGGGATCTTATAGTGAGCATTCCGACCACAGTCCCTAAATCAAGTTCTGACATTGTAACCTCCAGATGATCACCTGGGCCGCAATGCTCCTTTTGCGCGGCGTCGAAGACGGCGTCACACACCAAGACGGTATGACCACTCTACCCTGCAAACAATGCCCCGAACATCCAGGAGGCAGCAAATATGTAGAAAAGCTTCTAACCCATTCACTCACCTACAGACCTCCGTCTCATCCAATCCCACCTCCAAAGCCTCAAACTCAGCCACCCATCAGCACCAAGCATCCACGCCATCCTCGCGGACCGACTCCAATCGGGGATCCAAAGCATGAACACCCCTCCAGACATAGGGCCCGAATTATCCATCCCCGGTCCGCACGCGGACTATTCCTGGACCATCTTCGACCAGGAGATCATGCCGCTTGCGAACCCGCCGTGGCTGTTCGAAGGCGCCGCCGCCGCCGCCGCCTCCTTAGCTTCGGTGCCGTCGCAGCTAGCGCAGCAGCAGCAACAATCACCCATTCCGTCCGTCGGGTATACTACACATGGCAATTTGGGGACCGGTCATCATCATCATCATCATCATCCAGCGGCTGCTTTTCCTGCCGCCGGCGAGCACTGGGAACATCATCATACGGCGTCGGCATCTTCGGTGCGTCCTCCGCATCCGCCGCCGCAGAGGTTTAATCGGATGTTTGGGCCTGAGAATGTGCCCGGTGAGAGTAATGACTATTTGATGTGATTGGGACGATTTGCGTTCATGAGAAGGGGAACGATACGGGGAGTTCTTCGTGTCCGTCCAACCTCTATTTCGGAAACTAAGAGGGTCGACATGTGTACTGTACATACATCACTTTTGTAATTGTCACATCAGCATCTCATTTATAGACAATACGTCGTCTTGATCTTGATCAAGACAGGGGTTGTTTACAATGATATCATATCCGCGGGGAACTAGCAATATCAATAGCGATAGCGATAGAAAACATACAAAAACAACACAAGCTTTGAGGCGGGAAACACAAAATAAAACATTATTCCTTCATCATATTGGGTATATATAGTGTCAAATCATGAGTCATGTCATACTGTACAAAAATGCTATTTCTTAATAGTCAGCAAAAAAGAAGCCGCTGGATCAAGTCCCGGTGTCACTCCAAGGGTCTGTCTGTTTGGTATTTAACAGAAGTGAGAAGGAGAGCAGCGTAGAAGAAAAGGGAAAGAACAAGAAGGGTTTGACCTGCAAACCAGGAGTATTTTGTCTTGTGGACCTGGCCCCGACTTGAGAGGTTCATCGGTGAGTGGATTCGTTTTGAGGTGGCTTATTCTTCACGGTTTTCCGTGGAATCATCGTGGTGTAAATATTCCTCCAGAGAGTATGTTGAAGGGTGACTTTCTGTTGTCGAGGAGGGAGTTTGCGGGAGAGGCGGGAAGGGTTCTGTTTCTGAGTGCTCGATAGTTTGAGGTGTTCCAGTGTTGACGGAGAGAATATTCTCTCCTGTCGAGTCTACAGGAGTGTTGAGAGATGAATCATGGGGAACGTGGGACGAGACGGCCGGGGACTGTGGTGGATGTCGGGAGGTGGACTGAGCGCAAAGGGCAGGCAAAGTTAGTCATGAAGTTATTCCCAAACGCTGGAAGTCAAGAAGAAGCATACCTGTTCCTTTCCATGCTCGAACCCGCGAGTAGAAGCCAACTGCTGCGCAGCGAGGCGTTTCCGTAGAATCTCCGATTCTTCTTCAAACGCAGCTCGTTCCTCCTCTTTCTGCAGATCGGCTATCGAGACCGGCGTATCTTCTGCGACATCGGCGGATCCGTGAGAGGCTCGGAGCCGGCTGCTTCGTTTCTTCTTCTTATTCACCTTGGAATCCTTAGACGCGAGGCTGAACGTCCCAGACGTCGATCGCATGCTAGCAGGTTTATCACCAAGTTGATCATCAGACTCTAACCCAGTCCCGCGCCGACTCTGCAGTGCCATAGCGAACTCGTCGTCTAGCGGCACGGCATCCTCCTCCTCGTCGCTGGGGATCAGGTCGCCGCGCGAGCTCAACGAATTGACCGTTTCGCGCGACGACTGGGTGGAGCTCCGATATCGTCCTCCGTTCCGTCCAGCCCTCGAGCTAGGGCCTTCGATTTCCTCGGACGCCTCCATCAGGGGCTCCTCCTCGTATGCATGGCGGCGCAAGCCCTGCGGGTGTTCCTGGAGGTCGGCGGCTGATGGTCGGTATTTCAATCCCCTCGCACCGAATCGCCAGGGGAACCGCTCGAGGAATCCCAGGAAGGAGGAACTTGGGATGACGGTTGGATCATTCCGTTCGCCGGCGGGCACCATCAGGCCGCTCTTCCGCCGCGTGCGCCGAGCCCCGTAGCTCATCTTTCGCGGTCGGCGAGGCTGCTCGGAGCTGCCGCGCGTCAGCCCGCTGCCGGCCAGCAGGCGATCGAGCTCATCGGTGCCCCAACCCATGAGGCTGTCGTTGGGGTCTTCGTTGTCCCAGTCGTCGTAGAAGTCGAAGACGGATTCGGCGCGCCCCCGTCGGCGGCGTCGGAGGTGGTCCTCGCGGCTCGGTAGGCATGGCGCGGCGCATGCGGAGATGCAGTTTCCGACAGTCACGAAGCAGGGAACAATGTAATTGTGAGAGAAGGTATAGAGGCCCTCCTGGGCAGTTTCATTGGCGGTTTCGAGATTGTGGGAGATCTGATTGATCGTCTGGCGGACCCGCGGGTCTCTGGTCCGCATCATGTTGTTGTTGGGGGGATAGAAACAAAGGAACGGTAGCGAGCGTCAGTGTAAGGGTAGGGATGGGGTCGAGCTTGGATAGGCAATCGGAAGTCCTGGAGATGAGGGTTCGTCAGGTTCAGCCAAGCCCGGACGATGCCATTGATTGCAGGGATGGCGAGAGGGGTTGACGGGTTGACGGGTTGACGGGTGATATCATCCACTCTGCAACGCTCCGATGAAGGAGGAGCCTGAGGAAGAAATAGTTAAGTTACCCGATCGTTGAGGGGCTGACTCAGCTGGCACGTGCGGATCACGGGCCCTTCCGTCATGGCGCATTCTCTATTCTTAGTTACGATTATCACGATCATCTTTCTTCCTTCGCAATGGTGTACTACGTGCGCTTCCTCAAGACCCCCCGGGTCCAGAACCACAAGGCCGGCTCGGTCCTGGTATCCGCCCTGGTCTGCATCACCACGGACCTGGGAGATGCATTCCTAGCTCAAGATGTGGATCTATCAGTCTCGCTGAGCGTCGCTCAGACCGATCAAGTCCTCTATCAAGAGCCATTGAAATGGAAGGCCGGCAAGCGTGAGCTTCCCATATCGCTGGGACCTTTCCCGGGAAACCTCTCCCAGCGGACGACGATGGTTCTCACCGTGGCTGTCGCTGATTCTCGCAAACCCGGACTACCCACCCCAAACTCCCTCTCGGGGAAGCCTGGCGTCCCTCTAGTCTTATCCGGCTGGAGCGCTCCCTTCGGCGGCTCGGAATCATCAGTGGCTGATAAACTAGTTGAGAGGCGTTTTGGTTCCATTGAGGCATTAGATCTACGGATCTGGGAGGAAACCGGCAACAGCATTGCTCGACACATTTGGTGAGGCCTCCGTTGTTCCCTACACATCCTTCCCACCAACCAGTTCTAAGATGGAATTACCCGTGCTTTCAGGGATGCAGCACTTGCATCGGTAATTTACCTGCAGCAAATCATCGCTAGGGATCGCGTAGAGACTGCGTCAGCATTGCAGGACCTCCTACAGCGTCCACGCAGTAAACCAGTCCGTGCTGTCGAGTTGGGATCCGGGTGCGGCATTGTAGGCATATCGCTGGCAGAATTGCTCCCTCAATGCTCCGTGCTACTCACAGACCTCCCTGAGGTGGAGGATATAGTAACCCAGAACATAACCGTTGCTAAGCCGGCGTCCGAATCCACTGTTGAGTTCCAAACGCTCGACTGGGATGAGAAACTTCCAGAAAACCTCTGTGGTGGCTCGGTTGATCTGATCCTCGTATCAGACTGCACCTACAACGCCGACAGTCTGCCCGCCTTAGTTTCAGTGCTGGACCGACTCGTCAAGATGTCACCAGCTGCCATAATCTTGGTGGCGCTCAAAAGGCGACACGAGAGTGAAACCGTCTTTTTCGAATTGATGGAGTCTGCTCGATTGTCAAAAATTAATCAAGATAACCTTCACCTTCCATCACAACATGGCCAATCGGATCAAATCGAGTTGTATTGTTTTGGGCGACAAGACAGCCATTTGGCACAATGAAATCGGTCCAACGCAACAACTTGATAAAAATGGCCAACGATATCCATGTCACTTTCTTATTGCAACTCATCCAATGAAATGAAAATCATTCTATAATCCTGCAACTTTAACTTCATACACCTCATCAATTACCCTTTGCCTTGTCTGGGGATATCTTTGCTCACTTTGGTAAATATCCATATCGAACCATCATGATGAACAAATACGTACATGTAGAGTTCGTGACTCTCGGTTATGAGTAAGAGCTCTTCACAGGATATATCCCTGAGGATTCTCTAAAGCCATGTGCAAATGAACAAAAAAGTGACTTTCCACGTTTTACAGCCTCGTACGTGCTATGAACATACCAAATTCCGTGATTGAATAACAAAAAGGAAAGAAGAGGGAAAAAATGAAAGATAAAGGGCGGTGGAGACAAGAAAGGTTGCACACCCCGCAATATAGTTTTGGGGACAAGTACACTTCGAATTCCGCGTGAAGGGACCCAATCTCATCGGATGCTTGTATTTTTCCAGAAGTTGAAGAGACACGCAACCTGCCCCGTGAAGTATGAGAAATCCCTCACAGTCCAAGCAAATATTTCAGCCGTTCGCTTGGGGAGGTCGACCGTATTTCCTTGCGCACCCGTTGATAACTATCTTTGGACTCTCGAGAGTTCGGGCCTGTGCTGCGAGGCCAGGAGTGCCACTTCCTTTTATGGTGGGACTTCCAGATCGCCGAGGCTTTGATGTTGCTCCAGACGTTCGGAATTGCCACACGGTCTCTCAGCCCTCCTGATCGACCTCTGCGATCCACCAACTTCGAAAGTATCAGTTCCAGCGTAGAGTCGAGAGGTATAAAGTCCGTATCGTCCTCCAGGGCCGAGCTTTTCAAAGTAGTCAAGGCCATTATCGGCAAAGGAAATTGGGGTCTCTCGCCGTGGAAAACCTGCTTACTGCCGTTGAGACTATGCGATCGCGCAGGAGGCAGAACGGGCAAGCCATTCCCGGGGTATCTCGGCTCGCTTGAAGCATAGTCGGAGTATCTAGCACCTCGCCCGACGAAAGCACTAAAATTTGCTGCTAAGGTCACGGCACAGAGGGGGATGAAGCCAAAAGACAGGGAGGGTGTTGCAGCCACGGCCGAATCAGCACAGTTTTCAGGGGAAGCATTAAAAGATGCTTTGGCACAAAGGGCCCACAAATCGGCATAAAGACGACAAACGATGTACACGTCGCCATTGGCGATTTGGAATTCATCTGGTCGAGGTTGTTCGTGGCCGATCAGAGTATATGAAGGATCGATGCAGATCACCAGTGAGCCCTCTTGGATCGCCCACCTCTCTTCTAAGCCTAGACGTATATCCCTATAGGATTTCAAACGCGTACATAATCCCGGTTTAACCTGGCGGTAGGAGATTTGCAATGGCGGTATATTAGGCAAACGCGCTTTGGGAGAAGTTCTGAAGGGTGGTGACTTGGTTCCCATCTCGTTCAAAAGCAACTCTGACCATCTGCCTGACTCCTGATTCCTCCAGTCTTCCTTTACGCAGGGTTAGTGTGACATAGCCTCTTTTGAAAGAAGCAAGAAACTTACAAGCAAAGGAGCACCCTGATCCAACTCCGATATGGACGAGTCAAAACTTGCTAGTAGGTCTGCATTCGCGGCTTGCACTTCCCAGCACATTTTATGTTCTTGATCGAAGATCGAAGAGGATGAACCAGATTGCCTGCCAAAGGGACTGTATGATAGTCTAGACTCACACTGACTGCATATGCCCTGATCGCTCACCAGGCACGCTTCGCAGTCTCCAGACGCTGTTGGGTAGGAGCTCGGGTCTGTGTTGGACCACCAAACAGGCGGCCTATGGAAGTAGATGGCATGGCGGCGTCTTTCGGCTACGGAGTCCTCGGAGCTTTCAACGGATGAGCTATCCATGATGGGTGATAGAGTCGGCGAAGATGCGTCTGAGATCGATGAGCAGCTGAAAAAAGCTTCGATGCCTGCGTCAGTGATGTCCGGGATTTCGTTGCTCAATGCATCTGTCCATAAAGAAGACATCATTATGATGTTCGGGTATTGTATGCGACCTGTGATGGCACCTGATTGCTGTTTGGTTTCGATGCTAGAAAGCAAGGTATACAGGAATTATGATGCGGTTCTAAGTGCTAAACAGTGGGACGTGGATGAATGGAAAGGCATCATCATTGCCATCGTGAAACGATGTAGATATGCGCGTATGGCTCCTTCCTCATGGAGAAACGGACCGACGAGGCCCGTGAGGAAGGTGCATCTGGTCGTGCCGGCATTTTCAAGACACTGGTCATCCATGGATATGCCAGGCGCTGGAATTGCCTTGCAAAGAACCTCTCTGGGGATATTGCAGGAGTAGAAAGTAGATCGATCCAGGAGAAACTACCGAACCTCAGCGATTTTCCTGCTGACTCATCACCGGAGGATTTAGGTTAACGTATTTCACCACCGAGTCGGCCACACCACCGAGTCGGCCACCTCTGTATTCCCTATAAACCGGCCATTTTTCTAACCCCAATATCTCAATAACCATTTTATTTAGAGATACTAAAACTTGCT